AAAAAAAAAAAAAAAAGAAGAAAGAAAAAAATTCGACGGAAAAAAAGGTTTTATTGAACGATACAGTTGTTAGCGTACTTGTGCATTTATTTCGACAGAGTCGTCTTTCGCTGTGTACGTTTCTCGCGTTGTAAGATTGGCTCGGCTTGTACGTCGCTCGCGACATTTAATTTTCCTACAGTTCCTATGTACAGTTCGCCTCGAAGCATTTTAGGGACCGCAACTTAAATTCAATGAAGCTTTTTCAATAATCATCATCGTTTGTTCGAGCATCGTTTATAGTCGTTCACCGCTTTTCTTCTTTCCACGCGATGATGTCGTATGTATGGCTCCAGTGTAAAGACAATCAGACGTTTTGCACGACATACGACCGTAAAGTAGAAAGTGACGCCCTTCGACAGACACTTGGCCAACAACTTGTTGACAAGATCATCATTTGCAGGAATACGATTTATTTCTTATTATTTAGATTTGTCTAAATCGTTTGTTTAAATGACTATTCACAGCTTGAGTTAACATACGTTGTTGCAGTCATCCGTTCAATACCAAAGATTAAAAGTTACGTTCCACGTGTCAAAGGGCCAAGATGTACGTTATCGTAATTACTTAAACGTTGTCTCATAACTTGTACATTTCCTAATACACAGTAACGTTACAATAAATTCTTTATTCCATGCATACGTTTTATCTGTCATTAACGACGGACCAACGAAGAGGTAGGTGATTATAATATAATCTCATAGTGCGTTGATTCAATTTTCTTCATCTTTGATAGTCAAAGATTGAATTGACAGTAACAAAAATTCGATACATCGTTATTTTTTGAAGGATTTCGAGGGTGCGAGGCAACATACTATAATGAATGGCGCGAGTAAAATTCAAATCTGAATTTTCAATGAATCGATTAAAAGTAAAAGATTATATCTACAAAGTATAAAGAAGAGAAAGAAAACAAAAAAGAAAGACGTAAATATCAAGAAGTTAATCGAAGTTGTGCCGAGTGGGAGGCATGTTCCCCTCGTGTCATTTCCCTCCAATAGGATTCGTTTGACCAGACCGTAGTCTACGAAGAAAAAATTTTGCCAATACATTTGCCATTGTAAACATCATTGTGTCGAGAAAATTCAAACATATCATTTTCTTTGTTGCTCGTTCATGCGAAACATTTATCAAATGAACCAAGATTGACGTCCTATTAAGAGAAATTAGGCTCTCCTATACTCAATATGTGACAATGAAGCATTTGATTTTACGCGATCGTTTTACAAGTTATACGAGTGTTGAATTACCCGTTTATTGATCGCTGTCAGTGACAATAATGTAAAGGGAGTTGTGAGTATTACGTTGCCAAATGTTGCTGAGCCATTCCAAACATTATGCATCTATCTACATTAGAGTATGCTATTGTTTGTCAAAGAGCCGATAACCTAACAGTCACATATATCGAATATTAGAAGAAATTTCGCTAAATAATTTGTACATGAAATTATAAGAACTTTTAATGTTTGGTAGTTTATCTAGAGTTTCACTATGTTGCAAAACAAAATGCACACTTATACCGCGTAATGTTGTAATGAAAATTTTATGGAATTGTTACACTGCGAAAGAGATTGATCGTGCTTTACTTGCAGAGATTGCAATTTTTATATTTTTATATGGTGAAAATGGACCATGCTTCGTTACCGAAATTTAATTGCAATCCAATGAACACGTCGAAAACGTGTCCATCCGATTTCACTACTCTGACTGATGTGAGTTTGATTTGAGCTTACAATATCCATGTATTTTTGCATCAAAATTCATTTTGTTATTTTGTCGTAGGTGTTACAATCGGATCCAGTGAGAAGGTTGTTCAATCAACCAAATATTATTATTAAAAGGGTACCCATAAAAGTAAATCCAACATCTGCCTCCAATAAGAAAGTGCACGATACAGATTCAAGTATAAATAGAGCGAAACAATCAGAGTTATCAGTAATACCTTTACAGAAAAATCAAGAAAAAAATATAGATGATGAAAATTTGTTACCCTCGAAAAAACAAGGTAAATCAGAAATTACATTAGTTCCTGTTAAAAGAGAAAAAAAATCTTGTGGTCATTATGAACCTTGTGAGAATATTATATGTGATGTGATAGTACAACAATATGTAGATCGTGATGGATCATCGCCAATGTTAGCCTTCAATATAGAAGATAGTGAAATAAACGCACCAGTTTCAAAGCATTGTAAAAATAAAATGTGTGATGCATTAAGCATTGATCATGATCGTTGTCGCAGAGCTATAATAATACTGAATAAATGTAATCAATCATCAGCTTGCGATATTTGTGGTGTTACATTGAAGACCCAAAGATCTCGTATACATCACAGGAATTGTACAAGGAGAAATATATATAGGCATAATGAAACAAGTAGTGCTCAAATATTAAAAGAAAGAATGAGAGAACGAGAAATTCAAATAATTGAAGCTTCAAAAATAAAAAAAAACGATTATACAGACCCTATTATGGGCTACAATCTTGCAATGGAAACTCTAAAGAATAACAAAGAGTTAGTCATTACTCCAAAATCAGTCTCCTTACAACAACTGCAACAGCGGCGACGGCAACTATTTCCATCAGCATCACTAACAACAACAACAACAACAACAACAACAACAATTACAATTACTAAAAATTCTACATCTACAACAGAATCTACTTCGCAAATTAGTAATGTAAATAATGTTTTTGGAGAACTTTTATCTACCAATATACCAATTGTAATACCACAACAAAGTATAGTTATTGGCAAAGCACAGTGTTCTAATGAAAATGGTATATCTACTCCCATTCAGTTAGCTTTGTCAGAAGCTTTAACTAAATCACTTATAACAACAACCACTACAGATTCTTTATCTCAGAATCGTCTTCTTACGTTTACAACACAAACTAATACACATCCAATAAATGACTTACTCTTGTCACAGTCGCAAATTGTGACAACACCCATTCAACCTAAACCATTTTTTACACCTATTCGCGTTGTACCTATAACTAATTTGATAACACAACCATCCTTATTACACCAAACACAGGGTATACCAAAGTTTTGTATTATGGCAGACAATAGAGCACTACCATTAACTGTAACAAATCCACAGTCTGTTCAATATTCAGCACCTGTGCCAAAGGTTGAATCTGCAACTGATTCGAAAACAACATTACAAAAAAAGAAAAAGAAATCGAAAATGGTAAAAAAGAAATGGAGACATAAGAATAAAGATTTCAAATGTGACTACTGTCTTAAAAGCTTCAGCACTGATTGGTATTTCAAAGTGCACGTTGCTAAGCATATTAATAAAAAACAATTTACCTGCAAGATGTGCAAACAGTCATTTAGTAATAGATGTGATATGAAAAAACATATGTCGAATCATCATAAAAGTGAAGATAGTGTTCCTAGTACATGTAACCGACAAACTTCTGCATATTCACGTAAGTGTTTAAATTGTAATGTCATATGTGCATCCATTGACCAGTTAAAATATTACAGACAAAAGTATTGTAAAAGTTCCTTTTAATGTTATAGAAACAAAAGTTATCAACCTTGACTTACAACAAGAAGTAAGAAAAGAAGATAAAACAAATGGATATGTTAATATGCCCAATCAAGATATTGTCAAAAATATCAAAGCAGAACTGTGTCACGAAGTATAAATTAGTTCAGATTAGTAATTGTTATTGGAATTGAAAGAGATAAAAAGTTAAGTCTAAATTGAAAATACATTTTTTACAAATCTTGAATAAGTTAATTTATGTAAATATGTGTAAATTGTGCTTATACTATAGCTAAATACTATAGCTAATCAAATGTTAAGTTTTTAGTTAAAAAATTTTATGTTAAATTATACAAACGCATGTATTCCTTTTTTAATATTTCATTATGTGATTGTTTATTTTAATTTTAAAATAATCATTCAGTATATCTCAAGTCGTGCAGCAAAAGACGAAAGGAAATAATATTTCTTGATATATATTTATTTTAGTTATGAAAAATATAAAGCAAATATTTTTAATACTTTCATCAATGTTATAAAAACATTATTATAAAATTTAAAATATTGTATTTTTTAAATGAAAACGATTACAAAAATTGATGAATGTATAGAAAATTAAATTTAGATGTTATATGTATATTATTGAAATCTTTCAAACTGTGATATGTGATCATCTTTCCACTTTAATTTTCTTCACATTATCAAAAAAATTTATCGTTTTCAATTGCGTATTTAATATAGCTTTGAGCACATAAGTTTTTGTATACTAAACAAATGCATGATAATGCACGTGGACAAAGATATGATGCACATATCGAAAACGCACAAAAGAAAAATTATGTGTATATTTTAGAACTAGAAAATTTGTTAAAAAAGAATATTTTATATGGAAAGAGAGATAAATTTCTGATATGTAAATACATATAAGTTATATTGTGTTCCTTTTATTTACACAATAATCTGTTCACTTCAAAGTATTCATTCACGTAAGTTCAAGTTAATATATATTCTTTCTTTCATTAAACTGTAAAATATATTTTTTTTCAAATTAAACACTAAATGTTAATAAAGTTATAGACTAAAATATTTTACAGAAATATAGTTCCTTGTTAAGAAAAATGAGTATCATGTGCCTTCAAATTTTTAATGTTCCTTATATAAATAAGTACACTTAATTCAAAGAAATAAATGTTGATTATAAACAATATTGGTTTCATTAATTCGTTTTACCGTAATTAATTGACAATAAAGGATACAATTTTGATGCAATTGTATAGTTAAACAAAATACCTTTATTTAACTATACAATTTTTTTGGAAGTAAAGTATTTTCGTTACATTTGATATTCATGATACTCAGTACAAAATAGTGGAAATAGCATTTGAATATTTAAAAGATTATTTTTAGAATTACAGAAATCACTAAAGTGCTATGTCAAATATATAATGATATATTCTCAGCAAAATGCGTCATAAAAATTGTCTGTTATATTGTATTTATATAAAAAGATTAAAGAATAAATCGTTATTTTATATCAAAATCATTTATTCAAAATAATTCTTTTTAAACTGAAAATAATGATCATGAATTATATTTTAAGGACTGAATAAATATGATGTTAATATTATGTGTGATAGAAAAAGTTAGAAAAAGTTAGTCCTTAAGAATGCACATTATATTTTTGTATTTTTTATATTTCAATTCATATCCTGTCCAAAGCTTCTAACATTATTACACTATTTCCACGTATTACCTAAAATAATGAAATACTTTCATTAATTCAACAAAAATCTAATTCTTAGTACAAAGTAACTTACTACAAGCTAACTTACCACCATGCCAATATTGTTTTTTGTACCATCTTTGCATTCTTCAATACTTTCATCTATAACCATGTTCATAAATGGATCGAAACCTCGTAAAATCCCAACGACATGTCTTCCTCCATTGAGTTTTACTAAACAAAAACATGTGATTTTAATAACAAAGTATTGCGTATAAATATAATCCTATAATATATATTTCTGTACTCACATGATAATCTTTTGTCCATATATCTAAAATAGAAAAAAAAGGTAAAATTTTAATATGCTTTACTATGTTTACAATGTACAAAAATTAAGATTCATAACTTATAACCTTTATCTAGATTGTGCAGATATTGATTTATTACACTTACTTTTTAAGTTCTGGTGGATGTGCCTTACTCATTTCTCAATTTTTTCTTTTTTAAAAAATATTAACAACAAATCACACAGTTATGGATATTTCCTTTTTAACGGTTTTGTCTCCTTCTCCGCTATTATGATATTACAAGCAACAGTATGCCAACCATAGTCAATGTATATTATAGACAGATGGGGTCGTCTTTGCTCTGGTAGCGCACTCTACGTTTAAATAACGGGCAGTTGGGGAACTACATCAAGTAAAACGATCGAAGTTAGTCAAGAAGTGAATGCGCTAGAAACATGATATTTGAAACAGTACATTACAGTATTTTCAACCACCGCGAAGTTTTCTTCGATCGATTCTACAATTTGTACCTGAAACGAATTTAAGAAACCGAAGGTTGGTAAAATCTGTAAAATAAAACAATTACTTGCAGTTGGATGAAACATCATCTTGTTGTAACTTTTCCCACTGAATTACTTTCTTTGATTTATATTCCATCTTTCTAAACCTTTAGTAGTGTACATATCTCTGTATATTTTCTGTAACTAACTTGCTTTCTGCAAGTTAATGTATCTGAAATAAATTTATACATTTACAATAAAATAAATCCATACACATTTTAAATTAACTCTTAGATGTAAAAAAAAGAGAATACATTTTTCTTAGCTAAATTTACATTACATTTTTTTTTTTAAATAAAAAATACACCCATGTTGTAGAACGATAATTTTATTTTTCTTGTTCTATACTAATACACGAAGTAAATGTCACAATATAATATACATTTGACTTAACAAAACAACATAACCACCATTTAATTTTGTCAATAGATTTTGGTCGCTTCTCAAAGTTAAAAGTATTCCTATTGTATAACGTTTATTCGAAACGCACATCGTACATGTACATATAATCTCATTGTTTAACATATTATATTTTTGCAAGGTACTGCCAGTACAAAATATAAGTACATTCATATTTATAAAAGTACAACGTTTACTTGCCGTCGAAGACGGAAGAAATAATGTTCCTCTTAAAACAGCTCATAAAACATCAGAGCAAGCAAGAATTTCGACAGCATATTTTATATTTGAATCTGACCTCGATTGATCATCATTTATCGATCATTTCAAAGACTAATTTTTCACCTATTTATTAATTTTACCATTTTTATTGCTAACTCTTTTTTTCTTTTTTTAACTAGCTCGTAAACTATGAAAATATAGAAAAGCACATAAATCGTCGGCTTTTTTTCGATGACACGACAATTAAATGTATTTGACATCTAATCCTTTTAAAAATCTTCTCGAAAAACTTGCCCGCGCGTAAGATCCTAAAACCAGTCTGGTAAAAGCGTCAAATCCTTAATCTTACATACATGTTAATACATACATCAAGTTAAATTATTGCATTACAAATAAAGCGTACAATTCGACGTTTTATATATTTCTAGGTATTGCACAGAACAGAGTACAATATTAGTCAGATGGTAGTCGAGCGCTTCATTAACTTATGAAATATCCAGAAATTCACCGTGATAAACACGTGCAAGAAACAATCGTACTGTACTTTACATACGTTGGTCAAATCAGGTACCTCATCAAATGTTCAATCATCGAACTGTACGTTTTATCGTCAACTAACTTACGTCTAGTTCTCAAGGAATGGCTTACGATTATCATTGACATACACTTCGAAAACGGACATTTCAAATAACAATCGCCAAAACATTCGAGAAAATCCTATTTAAATCTCCAATTCCCATAAGTATCAATAAGTATCATGTTCTATGTTCTATTTATACTCCACATTAGTACTTTACACGATCAGATAGAAAAATATACATTTAGTTTAAAAATCAGATGAAAAATTTTAAAATTTAGATCTCATAATATTCATAATTAATTCCATAAAGATATAAATCTATGATATGACAGTAAAATAATAATTTCGTATTGTAATATATAGGAATTGGAGAGTTAAAATAGTAGCCGAGTGTATATCAACAAACGGGCAATACGACTTTTCGTTAAGTAAGCGCGAGGACTTATTCAAGGTACCAATTAGCCTCTACGATTCTTGCGATGGTTATTCGTGCTTACTTTTATCACTATACATGCGAAACTGTATGTAAGATGGAACGGATTTAAAAGCAGTCGTAGGTAAACGTCTCGGCTTCTCTTCGAGAGACATAGTAAACCTTCGTATAAAATAACTAATTCTGTGCTTGTACCAAAGGCGAAGAGACTTGTAACAAAAAACGATTCTTGCCCGATAGTGAACTAACATCATCAAAAAATAATCTGTCTGTTTTGGTTGAAAATTGACCGATTCTACGAAAAGTTTTGTCTCGAGATCTGTAACTTTATCATTTAATTGGATATAACTCTTCGACGATATAATTTTATATGAATCGTATTATACGATGAATATTTTGTTGAAGGAGATTGCTGTTACATCGAATCAAAAAATATTAAAGTATTCTTTACTTTTCTGGAGGCTATGACCATGGACAAGAGTCGTTCTTGATAGCGCAAAATGAGGCGTAGTGATGCTCTGCCGAATCTCGATCGCGAGGAAATATGTTATAACAATATGGCGTTACGTTTAAATCATTCGCTTTTGCGTTAATGCATTCAAAGCACAATGGAAACGAAACGGACAAACGTAATCCATTATTACTTTATGGACACTATGGTGTTACTACATCTTTATATATATACGTATATATATTTCCATATAACATCGAACATGCGAATTCGCCAATGACGTAACCAGGGGGCAGTGGAAGGACTTGAAGAACTTTTAAGTAGCGGCAAGCATCCGCAAGGGACTCGTGACGAGTGTACATTTATCGTATGTATGTATGTATGTATGTATGTCGGCAGAGGAGTACAGATATGTGTCGCGTGCGAATACATACGATCTACCACGTCTAAACTTCACATTCTCTATATTAACGACGTTCGAGTACCTTCCAACGGTTTTTCATAAGCTTTGACTTCCCTAGCTAATGGTTACGCTAATGGAATGTACCCGCAAATTTAGTCCAATTGGATCGGATTAAGATGCCATCGTGAATCGAGCGTTTCAAATAAATTGCACCAAGAGATTAGCAATTGTCTGTTCGTTAATCGTGTGTTAAAAATAATGCACTTACTGCTGTTCAACACTGTGGCGAGGAAAACAACGAAAACGAAAAGAAAGAAACGAGAGAAACGGCGATACATATACATACTTTGATACGAGGGATTTTTATCGATGGAAACTCGATGCCAATATGAATGAATAGAAAATAACGTGGGCATTGGAATCGCCAATGGAGTTATTGTACGCAAAGTTTCAACTGGAAACTGGAAACTGTTCCTCACTTTCCTACGTAATTATTCCATTGCAAATGACTCTCGTTAGCTCTTTACGACACAATTCAAAGAGATACAGACATACAGAATTGAATGACATCGTGTAAAGTAAAATCGAATCGATATTGGCAGCAATCGTAGCGCTCTTCTCTAATACTCTTCTCTCGGCTCTCGCGATCCCTAACAAAGGAAATCAACAAAGTGAGGTACCACGGTAATATCACATCAAACGATCTTCCACGGAAACGTTTTCTCTCTCCCCCTCTCTATCGTGAATATATCTGCTCGTCTAGTTGTACAAATCATTTGCAAGACACGCAGTCTTGGGAAGAACTGTTTGAAAGAACGTAGCATTAGGAACACCAAGACACTTAACGAATAAAATACAATAGTTGTATCGCACACGCGATATCGTGTACCGACAGAGATACACAATTTCGCCGCATTAACAATTCTCGAAAAAGTCACGTCTTTTATATCGTTTCCTCTTCTAACTATCGCTTTCTATTTATATAGGTTACAACAGGACGCACTTCGAACTTAATGGCTTCGAAATTACCAATAGCGTAGTTTCGTGTAAACGTGCCCAAAGCTTTCCGGTATACGCGCGCGAAAAACAATTCGCATCGAGTGCACGCTCGGGCATTGGCAACAGTCGTCGCTCGTCCGTCGTCAGCGAAACGTTTCGTAATTGTGGTGTGTATTCTGTTTCGATTCAGTTTCCGATAAATCGTGCTGAATGAACTATGTTCGTTCGTTTCTGCATACGCGTTTCCACGATTGCTATTCGAATGTTTGTCGAACGTTTCGAAAGCGACGCGGCGAGATACCTGCGCGAGGGTCATGTTATTTGCCGGTGAAACTTACGAAACGTTATTTCGCATGACGCGAGGCTTTTGAAAGCGACGTCTACATGCGAATGAATAAATTCGTATATCAGACGGTCGTTTCTCGAAAAATCTTAACCGACGAGTCAGCGTGTTTAATGTGAATATATCTCGTGATGGTGGTCGCGCTGTTGTTATTGTTGTTGCTGTGGTTGTCGTTATTATTGTTGAATATCTCACGACTGCTCAAGCTGGACATCGTACCCGACTCGGACTCCTCGTTCGTCACGTCTGCGGCCAAGAATCAATCACTGACCAACCGGTCTCGCAGTTATATATAGCAGAGCAGATAAAGGTAACACGCGTATATCTTTTACACACACTTTTCTAAATACATATAACACGTGTAATTGATCTCCAATTTGGAAGATTCAAATAATCAAATTTGAAATCGATCGAATTTAACAGTTTGATTTCAAGATAAAACTTCAAACTTACGGAACGTCGTGAAGTTAGCTCCGAGAAAAGCAAGTGGCGGGAAATCACAACGATTCAAACAGATTAACTACTACCTATGTATTAGGTTCCTTTCAGTCGTTACTACTTCAAGTTAGAAACTTCGTGAAACGTTTCTTCAATTTTTACTTCGATCTGCTCTACCATGTGAAACAAAGTATTAAGAATGCATTGCGATGCAACGTGCAAAGAACAGTAACACTTAATCACGTAAAACAAAGGTTGTAAATAAAAGAAGCATCTTTCGGTTGTATTAAAAATAAAATTATATTTACAAGCGAGGAGGAAAATAATAATTACCAATAAGACGTCTCTTCTAGGTCGTAAGCGTAGTGGAGCCGAAAACAAATGCACGATATATCGGTTATTCGAATCTGCGGCATTTATTACGATCAAGATCCAAATGTGTGGAATTCGTTTGGCAAAATAAATTATTTCTTACTACGTATGAACGTTTTAAATGACTGTTTCTCATATTGCGTAAAATTTTTCTCGGCAAGACAGGAAGCAGATATGTTCAGTATACTCGTATGCAAATTATTTTACAATTAAATAATATTGAAACAACATTGGCACTAATCTTTCTTAAAGACGTTACGAACCTTAGTTTCATCAGGAGAGAAAATGTTAAATAATTGTATGTGACGTAAAGGAAACTACGTATCGTACGACTAACACTTTTACTGTATAAGTTAATATCTTTCTTCCTATTAACTAAAACGAAAGTAACTTTGGCAGTCGAGCCCAAATAATGGACTACGTGCGTGTCACGTCTACACGTACGTTTCTAACATTCTATCGTATAGGATACATTGAATTTGGCAAAGGTTACGGTGCAACGTGGAAGCACATGTTCTTGTACGCGGTCTCAATGAAAATGCATACTACGTATGGAGTTTTCGCGAACGAAGAGATAAAATTGAGACGGTCGAAAGTTAAGCGAAAAAGAAAAAGAAAAAACCGTCATTGTAACAAAAGCTTACGAAGTAAACGAGCGACGCTCGATACATGCTCGATTTGAAGAACTTATCTGATAAACTAACGAAATAGGATAACGTGATCACCAGGGAGTTTTACGAATCTAGTACATATACTGGTAACACTGCTTAACAGATCGTACATTGACACAGTCATCTAGGTATTCTTACTCGTTAAAATGTAGATCATAACGTAACGTACCACTACGCAACAATGATACATACTGTTTATTCAACAGCGCGTCTAAAATATGAAAATACACAGTACGTAACTTTATCGTTCGAATATACTCTAGAAAGATAGTTTGACGTCATACGACGTTACATTAGAGTATCATGCACATGCAGAAGACACTTTGAACATGAAAACATGCATGTACAATAGAAAATCGATGCTATCGGATAGAGCGTCAGCAGGATATTTTAAGTGACCGAAACAAAAACACCGCTCTTTCCTTGCTTCTTATCTCTTACGAAGTGGAACCTTAATAAATGACTTCTTCGATCTCGTTCTTGCGATAGTTTAGTTATTCGGTGAAAAATCGCGAACGATGACTATAACAAGGAACATGTGTGAAACTCGCGTTTCCCTCTCACGATATAACGCAGCAACATTTCTGACACTTATTCTCCTTTCCAACAACATCGTCCTTACAATTTTCTACGTCAGATTTACATACTTTCAATGCATTATCGCTGCTACTTTGACTCTGTACAAAATCGCTATTCGTTACCTGCTTTGAAATTATCATTTCACATTTGCTATCACATTTTGATATTTCTACTTGTTCAAAATCTTCAACGTTCGTCTCATTGCACGTATCCTGTTCAAATTTTATCTTCTCTGTCTCCGTGTTTTCCAATTTGTCCTCTGTTTCGTTCCTTTCGTGGCGAACTGTTCTTTGCTCTGCTTTCGTAGTAACTTGCGACAGTTCAGATGTTCGTTCGTTTGTCGGAAGTGTTTCCGAAATTATATTTCTATTTTTAATACTTGTCTTATCATCCGTCAGTGCCCGTTGATTTTTACTATTATTATCCTCCGTGCTATCTAACGTATTTATAACTTGATTCAATCGTTTCTCTCTGTCTTCGAGCATTCGTTCCTCGCTCGTCTTATTGCCTGCGTTAAAAAGATTTGTACTAACCATCATTGCACAGGGATTCTTGTCCGATTTTCCTATAAGCTCGCTTATGTTCTGCAAATATATGCTTTCATTTATCTCTATTCTCTTCGTATTTAAGCTCAGTCTGTTGCTCTCGTCGTCGATCTTATCGCAAAGTTCATCCGATTTTTCTGAACTGAACGCCTCGCCGCTCAAGCTCTTTGTCTGGTCGTCCGAGTAGGTGCTCAGTTTCTTATCCGAATAATCACTGTACTTGTCGTCGTGCAAGTACACGGAACTCTCGTTTGATTCGAAATTACTGGCATTTATTATCGATATCCTTGGTATGATCAAGTCGGGCGGCAAACCCTCGACATCGTTCGGCGGAGTCGAATCCATGGACAATCGGTTGATGAAATCACCAAACGAATGTTGCCCTTTGCTCTGGATCCATATCTCGGTTAAGAGGTGCGATCGCTGCCAAGACACATCGCTGTTGCATCTGTTCGTTCTTGCGGCCCACTCGTTTTTACACTCGTCGTCGTTCGGCCATGAATGTAAGCAGCAATCGCTAGGGCTCCTTTTGATATCACTCGTGTCTTGATTCGCGTCCATCGCCTCTTGCTTTTTGCTCTGAACAATCAGCTCCAGCTTGGATTTGAGGAGAGCAGGCGATACAGCTCTGTTCAGACGTTTGGCCAAGTTCGACGTCTGGGCGAACTGCGACGTGGACACGCTGTTCATGTTATCTACGTCTACGTCTGGGACATCACTCGAGGCTGATATTATAGCATTTGGACTCGGGCTGTCCATGCTATCCGGAGTGTAAGGATCATGCTTAATAGGTGCTGCGTGCAACAAGTTAGCCGAACGGTCCGTGTAATTGACCCGTCCGCTAACGTAACTACTGTAATCAGGCAACATGGACAACAACTCCACGTAATTGCTTGGCACTCGAAAGCAAAACTCAGGTGCACTCGGCAAGCTGCAGCAGTTTATCATACCTTCGTCCATAATGAGATTAGCCCTCAAGTAGACTGGCTGCAAACGGGAAAAAATGGACGATCCTTATGTAATATCGTGCATCTCTATGAAGAAATGGAGAGGGATATTCTTCGTATGGTAGGACTCTATAAAAAGTCTAACTAATATTAATATAATTTAGGGGCATACGATAACAAAGTACTTTTAGTACGATACTATAGAAATATGGTGCTGAACGTTTGGTAAAACTCACTGAAAAATATTTCACTTTGTCTACATAAAGGTGGATCTTCGATATTGTACACGACGTTTCGATTGTAATTTCGTAACATTGGAGCATCTTTAGCGAATTTATTGCATAGTTTTCTTAATTGTGATGAAAATGCATTTGAAAACGCAATAAAATGCTACCTACGATCACCAAATGTAATACACTTAACTTTTTCTGATGACAATGTATTCAAAAGGCTGAGTACAATTATAAAATTTGGGAATTGTTAAAAAAAAGTGATTTTTCAAGAGTGATACTATACTGAACAAACTACACTGACAAGCCTCTAGTTATAAATAGAGGAATAAAATACCAGTAGAAATAGAGGATAATATATGGAAAAACCAAGATAAAAACAGGCAGACAGTTGATAGATAGGTACCTTAGTGCTTAAAGATTCATTCGAAACTCCAGAAAAACAGGCTGCACCATAATAATTAAAAGAATGAATCATCAGAATAATAACTAGGAAGTGTGTAAATATATTCACCCAGCATAATAAGTAAAACGAACCAGTATCTTCTTACATTAGAAAAAAGAAAGACTTTCTCACCTTATGATCACCCATGCAAGTTGTTGGACCAATTATTCCATATTCCACAGCGTCTGGCGATGATATCTGGAAAAAAATAGTAATCACGTGGAAATATTGTTTTTTGTCCAAAAGATATGCGTTTAGGAAAAAAATACAATAAGGATAAGTAATATTTCATACGTCTTGGACTAGCATTTTAGCAGTAGGACTCAGCAGAACACGATCGCACCAAGCCGGTACTCTTGTTTGCATATAATTCGAACCTTCATTGATATCTTCCTCAAATGGATAACTGGGTACGAACTTAATTGAAAATTCAAATAATCTTCCATCAAAGTCTTCCAGCTCTCTGTCATATTCACGTAGCTACATAAATATTGGTAATTTCATTATGGTCTTCCTAATCGTCAATGCAATATTATAAGTCACATTATATAATGTAAAGTTCGAACAACGAATTACTTACCCACTCTCCACTATTTTGCACAAAAACATTCTGATGCTCGTAATGAGAAAACTCCTTTTTTCCTAATGTTAATATGAGATCATCGTCTTTATTGTGAAACTGCAATTTCGAAATACTTCCTTTGTTTGATAACCTTCTTTCTTGAGTATCTTCCGTGAGTTTCTGCGCAAAAGGAAAGTTTTATCGATTATTTTTATTCCTTTATACTTGTACAAGAACAGGATTATTTTCGAATTTTCTCATACTTACTTTGATTACCCCGGCTGTGTCCGTTCTAAAATTAAAGTCTCCAAATAAAAAGTATGGTACATTTGCATATTTATCGTTATGAAACCTATCTAACGTATGCTCGAGCGCTCTCCTACGCGTCTTACTGTATACAGATGGAAACTGAAAATTATATTATGAGAGCAAATATATCATCAAAGCTATCTCACAATAAAAGATATAATCACTTACCGTTTCCATAGCAATGAAATTACTGGCGTCATGAAATAAATGTATGTTTATGAGATCAAAAACTGTTCCGCTAATACTCCATCGTGTTCTCAGAAATCCTTTTCTGGACCATTTACATTCTGGAAAGAATTCCTGAGGGAACTTTGCTTTTTCTTTGGTCGTGACTGCTTCTATATTACCAGAATGAACCTCCTTTCCGTTCACTGGTATAAAAGTACATTCTAAAATTACAATAGTAACTTGAGTTATTTCAATTCACTCTGCTGCTGTGACACTAACGCGGCAAATATGTTGTACCTTGGAAGTCCCATAATAAAACTTCTTTCAAAGATTCATGCACAAAATAAAAATTTCCAAGTGCCTGAAAAATTGTATTTAATTTAATCACTAACAATCATATACATTTTATAAATGCATAATTTTTATATTCTCCTACCGTAAAATGCTCAGCAGATGAGTAATCCTCATCCAAGAACACTCTAATTTTGTCAAATAGCCTTAATTCTTCTGATGACATTAGTAACCTGCAACAAATAACATTAAACTAAATTAAGCTTTGTAAGAACATAAAGATTTCTCTACTCTGAACTTTTTACATAGTGTCTCAAAGATCTGTTATATTTTCAAACACTTTTTTTACATTGCTCCCCTATGAATATCATTCGATAAATTCATCTTTTGAAGTGGCTCACTCAACCATAAAGTCACGCGTGATCATCTATTTTTATCCCTTTCTGCCACTTATGCGTTAAATCATTCAATATTGTGATCAGGGAAACCTATTTGTCTTCGTATATTCTTTTTAAAAGGCTTGCATATACCTCTTACTACATTCTGCTCCATAAATGTTTCACATATAAAACAAATAATAATGTTTAGACAAATATATTATAGTATAAACTTGTAATTGTTATTCCATTACTTTGATTACAGGGTTCAGCCAATGGAAGCCTTTCAAGAAGCTTTACTCTAACAAGATTTTCTGGACTGTCTTTTCCATCCTTAATACGATATAATTACTACTGACTGTGCAGCAGACAAAGCTTTAGAAAAGTAAAGAAAAAAAAAATTACCTAACAAAGTCTTCCACCTGCCTGGTGCTGTGCTCATAATTTTTTCCACCTACTTCTTGGCAGTGCAGTGCAATAAATTTTGGATCCAGCCTCAGTATAGTCTGAAAAGCATTCTCCGTGTAATGTAATACCCATTATATTTACGCAATGACAGCGCATCTTATCTGCAATATATACTTACAGATAAAAATTCTTCCGTCCAAATTTTCAACATCGTGTTAGGCTGTAAAAAAAAAAAAAAATAAATAAATAAAAATCGCATCTTCGTAATTTCAAACGAAATTTCAATTAAAAAAAAAGGCAAGTAACAAAAGATGGTAATTTCCATCATCTATCGATGAAAAAGACCGAAAGAAATTTAAAAGCGTATCTTCGTTCATTGTACACATGTGTATCGATGAGTAAATCTCGATGAAAACGCGTACACGATGTCATCGTTCTTAAACGGTGAAAGCGTAATTCGATTTAAATTCGCGCGATTGACGAGAAACACGCTGCTATGGAAAATTGTCATCGAAATTGTTATCGTGTTTCTACGCGCGTTGGCATTGTTGTAACTTACGTTGCGAGATCGTGGATAAAATCGCGATACTTTACACTGGGCAGGAGCGAGAAAAACAAGGGGGGAAAAAAAGTGATGAATGAGGGAAAAGCAGCTTGCGACGAAATACGCGCCAACTGATTCTGAACTGGCGAAGAAAAAAAAAAAAAAAAAAAGAAAGAAAGAAAGAAAGAAAGAGAAAGAAGAAAAGAAAGAGGTCGTGCCGCGTTCGAAAGGTAAATCGCGGGGCACGATCGATCGATCATCATTCAGAGACGTGAGAAAAGAATCTTGTGAACTCACCTCCTCGAAGATACTGCCAACATTCGCAGTGACCAATAACACTGGTACGCCGTTACCCGCCATTCTTCAATGTGTCAAAAAGGGAAAGTTTGCGCTCGAAGAGAGAAAGACCACGGATATCGGGTGGCGTAGTAACGATCACGAGGAGTAGGAGGCGGAGGAGGAGGACGTGAACGACGTAGAACAACAGAGACGCAGAGATCGGTGCGAAAGGCTGTCAGGAGATGGATCGACGACGGCACACGAGCGTCGAGCGTTGCTGCACTGCCTTGAGAGAATGTTGCAAGACTCCCGGAGCACCTCGACTCGTCTCGGGCAACCCGATTCCCCGTTGACACGAGAGCACTCGGACCGAGTAGTTACGCCCGGATGGAAAGTCACCCCCGGCGAGGAAAGGTCCGCGTGTCCGGAGGAGTCAACCCCTGTGCCGAGGAGTGGCCACGGTTTCGCACCGTCCACCGGTCGCATCAAACCTCGCACTGCAAATACACATTATTAATCGAATAACGCGAGGCTCGTTCGCCGCACCAGAGGGAAAAGTTGTGTGTGCGGTAAATATATCCCTCTATCGGCCAAAGCGAAGCCACGCCTACTGCAGACGTCAATAGGCAGTGCCGTGCACGTTGGACGTGAAACTCTCCGCCGGGTGGAGACCACGCCGGGCCCCACCGGTTAACGTTAATTTCTACGCTTCACACTTCCACACGGATTCAATATCTTGGCCTCTGGGTTTCACCACGCTGCTCCACGCTACGCTACGCTGCTCGCGTTTGCAAGAGTGATATAATACACGCTTCCCTTCAGAAGCTTCCAAAGTCAAAACTCGATCGAACCTCGTCGCGATTCCGGATCTCGATCTGGATCGTACGCGGACCGAGTATATCGAATATTTCCTCACGGTATAATTCCGACGGTATTATTTCTTTTAAACGATCTTTCGTCGGTTCGTCGATGGAGAAGACCGTGACTCTCGGCGTTTCACGCCGTTGTATTGTCGATGGCGGAATAATCGATCGATCGCAATCGAGCAGCTCTCGAAAGTTTCGTGGAAACGGTGATTAAAAACGATCGACTCTTCAAGTTGCACGCGATCTAATTATTCGGTGTTGCGTTTTTCTTTCTGGGCAGTTTTTTATTCTCTCTCTCTCCCCCTCTTTCTCTCTCTCTCTCTCTCTCTGTTACGTGCGTCGAGTTATCGAGAATTGCTAAAAGCGTCGGCGATAGTCAACGGAACGGAAGTTCAGATAAGGGTACGCGTGCGCGCGGCTCGATGCTGCGAGCCGTAACCGTCGTTGGGAACCTACAATTCAATGATACGACAGAGCTGGCCAGGCTCATTTTATTTGCACGAATCTTTATCGCGCGAACGAAGATAAAACGTGCCTCGCGCCGTATCCCCGACGAATCTTTCAGCAACGAAAAAATCGGGACGGAGGAGGAAGGCGGAGGGGGGGAAGATTTGAAAGTGAAGCGCTCGTAAAGTGACGTACACGATACGTACGCTCCTGAGAACGTTCGTCGGAAACGATGTTTTCAGCTGCGCACGAGAAGGGCGAACGCACGCGCTCGTACGCTCCGTTTACGTTTACACCTTGTTTTCCATTTTTAAAAAAAGTTTCTTCTTTCATTCCTTTTCTTTTTGAAAGATCTCGGAAATGCTGTTCGGACGCAAGAGCAGACAGCTGACCAATTATGAGCTGCGTTGGCGAGCCGAATCAGCGAAGCGTGCGCGTTTAACCACGAAGGAACCATGTCAGAGATAGAGTGAGAGAGAGTGAGAGAAAGACGAGAGAGAGAGAGAGAGAGAGAGAGAGAGAAAGACGAGAGAGTGTTCAGTTAATTATCGTTCGGCGTGTGGTGTTCTCAGCGATTATCATACGAATCGGGAGTTAGAGCGAACGCAGTGTGCCGCAACGCACGGTTCGGTTTTCGACCTGACGTTGCACTTGCATTGCGTTAACCTGCTCGTCAGACAGTACGTATCGCCCGTTCCGCTAGAGCATCATCACCACCGGGGAAACGGCCAGTTTACGTCTCGTAAGCCGATCTGCCGCGCCGTCAGCGTGCCTCGCCTCTTGTGAGAATCGTTGCAAGTTCGTTTGTCGTACGCCAGACTACGAAATTACATCGCGTCTATTTTCATCGCAGACATTCGCGTCTCTCGAATCGGCCAATCTCGCCGATAACAAACCCGATATTTTCGAGAAATATCAAAAATTCCTTTCCTCTACGCGCACCACCGTCTTCGGAAATTTATTAGATGTTGGAAGGAGAAAGAAAAAAAAATATATATATATATATAGGATCGATGAGTCTGTCGACGATCATAATTGCGTGATTATTGGGAAAGATTAGGATTGACAAATTCGGAGAATCGCTGCTTGTTAACGCGTAATCGGTCACCGGTGATTGATAAAAGGCTTTGAGAATCATAATGGTAGAAAATTGAGATTTTGAATTTACGGCACTCGCGTACAGTGTGAACTTGAAAAAAATATTATATCTTTTAATAAAAAAATCCGAGACTACTGCTCTATGACTAGTAATTGACTAACTCAACTCGCTGATGATTCTCATCCTTTCATGTAATAAACGTATACGAATATTATGCGAAGATTACAAAGCAAAAAGATGATAAGCATATTTTTGACTTTTATGATTGCCATTTCACGACGAATATAGCAGAAATTTAATGTGGCGTAATTGAAAACCAAAAAGCAATCTGTTAGATGTAAAGATAAGTTTTACAAAATAATATTTTACAAAAATATGTGACAAATTGAGAAAGTTTTTATGATAACTGAAAGTATAATTACTAAAACGAGCCACATATTTTAAGCTCAACAATTAAATGAAATACTGTTTTAAAATACGAATTAATATGAAATTACCTACTGTATTTTTGTTTTATAATCACACGATACGTATCAATATAATACACAACTAATTGTATAGGGTATGTTAAAATGTTCAAGCATGTAGTACTCGTCGAGCAAAGCCGTTTTAATAAACACTGATGCAAACATGATTGCTTTCGAAATTACAAAACGTTTTCAACTGCGAGCCTGTAACAGTATAAAAGATTTCATTGAACGTCGAAGCAAAGCAATTTTCGAGATTGTGCGAAGATCGAAATCAGCCCGTATTTTTAACTTAGAAGAAATAGTTTTGCAATGAGTTGACGAAAATTCCAACACAGGCTGTCGAAAAATAGCATTCCAGGAAGGAAGGGACTGTTACCTACATAATCACGTGGAAAATCATTGTTTTGGCCAATTGTTATTCCCGTATTATTGCCATATAATATTTCTACATACAGATGATACTTCGCCTACATCTCTAAAGACTTTGTCTCACCACACGCTTCTAAATTTTAACCCCAATCTTTCGAAGTGTGTTCCATTGTTCCCTGTTTATTTAAAACAATACACGAATGGGAAAAGCAGTCGAAAATCAGTTTTGCTTCTGTTCCAATTTATCGAGAGTCAACGTTTCACTTGCAATTTCTTTTTCAACTTAATTCGTTTGCGTCTGTTTGCGATCAAGCCGCGTTTACGTTTATTATTACACGTCGTTCCATTGTTTGATCTTTAATGGATGTAATAAGCAGGTATCGTTTATTTTCAGATATGGCCATGCTGTCGTGTGTAACAGCGTTCTCGTTGATGACGGCCTTCGCGAACGGCGAGAGCATCCTGATGACCGAGGTGTTCGTCATTCCGATCAGACCGGAGACTTTCGACTGGAGTGGCGACGGTAAGAAGGGGGGGGGGGGGGAAAGGTTACTCGAACAATGACACCGATGACAGACTATTTGCATATCGTTTGTATTGCGTTCGTATCGCGGAAACGATACGGTTACGCGCAGGAGCCATGAAACGACGAGCATACAGAAATAACCAAACGCCGAGAGAGAGCAGGGTCACGCGGACGGTAGGCAGTTTTCGGTCATATACCCGTTAACTCGATTCATCAGCTGAAAGTTAAAGCGCGCCATTCGCGTCGCGTTTCGAATAGCAATCGGATTCACGGCCTCGAGGAACGCCGAACGTTCGTGCGTTGCGGCCTCACAGCTGACGTTGTCACGTGTATGTGCCGATATTCTTTTAACGCAACGTCATCGGGAAACAGTATAGCGACTGGCATCAGGAATTTTGGAAACGTGATGCAAAAATCAGTGATTTCGCCTACTTTTAGCCTCAAGTAGTTGAATTTTGATAGCTTGACCATTTCGAGACGTCAATCGTAAAAGTGACTCGGGAGAGCACTTTTGGTTCATCACTGATTTGAAAATTTTTTTTAAGAAACTCTAACAACTTTTGTGTAAAGTATGACATTTTTATGTGCTTTAGTTTTTATAAAATTTTTATATGTTGTGTATAAAAGTATAAAATTTTTTTAGGAAACTCTGACAACTTTTGTATAAAAGTATAAAATTTTTTTAAGAAACTCTGATAACTTTTGTGTAAAAGTATAAAATTTTTATATGTTTTATTTTTTATAAAATTTTTGTTTTGTATAAAAGTATAAAATTTTTTTAAGAAACTCTGACAACTTTTGTATAAAAGTATAAAATTTTTTTAAGAAGCTCTGACAACTTTTCATAGAAGTATAAAATTTTTATGTTTTATTTTTTATAAAATTTTCATATTTTTTGTACAAAAGTATAAAATTTTTATATGTTTTATTTCTTATAAGTTTCATAAAAGTTTTACAAGTTTTGTATAAAAGTATAAAATTTTTTTAAGAAACTCCGACAACTTTTGCATAAAAGTATAAAATTTTTATATGTTTTGTATAAAAGTATAAAATTTTTTTAAAACACTCTGACAACTTTTGTATAAAAGTAAAAAATTTTTTTAAAACACTATGTTAAAAGGGAACTGATTATTTAGTGATAAATTTTAATAATGAAAACAGTAGTTCACAGTTGACTTTGAAAACGTTGCAGAAATAATCAAACATTGGATTGAATTTTAAACCTATGGACCATGAAACCATCAAGCGCTTTTCTTGGAAAAGTACAAGTGTGTCCGAGTTGGCGAGGAACACGTCGCGCGCGATTACTCGGAATCAAATTATTCAGAGGAAACGAGTACTTTAACCACAGATATTTCCGAATGACTAACTAATAATTACGATTCGTTCCTTGTTTCAGTACGATCCGACCAATTCTCGTATCAACCCTCGCTGCTAAACGCGCCTGATCTTCCTTCATGGATTCATTACACGTACAGCAAAAGAGATCACCATGGTTTCCTGTACGGTGTCGCACCCAAGGATCGGAAATATTTTCAGGTGATCCATCCCAGAGAAACGTCAGACACGTACATACACACTTTTGCTGCTACTGATTGTCTTCTCTGTTTTACTTTTTTTTTTTTCTTTTAATCAGAATTTGCATTCAGTTTGCATTGATAATCACTATTTGGACGAATCAGTTCAAAACGATAATAATACTAAAGTACCGGTACGACATAAATAATTGTATATAATTCAACAGTAAAGTATAATTGAACCATATACGAGACAATATGATTTTCAAGATTATTATCTAACTTAGAAGAAATCTAAAAACAGGCCCAAACAATTGTTTGCATAGAGGCAAAAGAATAATAGACGAATTACCGACAATTTTCAGCTGGAGATAGTTGGCCTGAACAAGCATACCTACGAAACTAGGTATAAGGTGTTGGACATGAACGTCCTTGAAAAGGAAAACCTGACCAAGTACGAGGTGCATTTAAAAATCGATAATTTAAACGTGGAGGACATGTTCGACCGCAACAGAACCGAAGTGCTTCTCGATATATTTAGGTTTGTCAATAAAACTCAAGGAAAGACTTGAGCCTTGATATTTCCAATACATCCTGTCACGCGACTGATTAAGCTTTCCCTTTCTTTTTTCCTCTGCTTGCTTTCAGAAAGAGGTTGTGGAAAGACGCGGCCGACTTGTACGTGACTTTCCTCGCATCCGCTATCGAGCTCGGTGCTCGTCTACCTTTGAAGCCGAGCGAAGGTGAAGGGTGAGTTTTTCTTTGAAGAAAAGAAAAGAGACAGAAATCAAAACGCAGACGAGCGATCATTGTGCCAGATGTTTGAACATCTTATCGTAACAAACTTTTACGCATACATATACAGGGTTTCGTCACTTCTGGAGCTGATTGTACGCCTAAAAATAATGAAAAAAAGTCATATAAATATATGTCCTATCTGTCTTCGTTTATGAGATATAATGAATTTTATAAACAGAGCAAACTCTAGTAAGCTAGTTTCACCGGGGATGGTATATTCAATTTTCATAATAATCATAATTGGGATGAAGAAAACCCACATGTTATTGTGCATTCAAGACATCAACACCAGTTTAGTTTAAACGTATGGGCAGGAACAATTGATAAATTTTTAATTGGACCTTTTTTTCTTGATGGAAAACTAACAGACACAAAGTACGTTGATTTTTTGAGCACGCGTTTACACGAAATATTAGAGGAAGTTCCAGTCGATGTTAGACTTTGTATGCGNAGAGAGTAACCAGATGAATGACAAGACGCGTGCAGGCTTGTCTTCAAATGCAAGGTGGTCATTTCGAGCATCTTTTGTAAATGTAATTAAAACAGAAAATTCATTAACGAAGACAGACAGGACATGTATTTTTTCATTATTTTTAGGCGTACAATCAGCTCCCGAAGTAGGTCCCAGGTACAATTTACGAAACACCCTGTATATATTCTGCCTGTTGTATAATAAAATATTTTGAAATTTCATTCTGCAATGAGACACAAGCGTCTCGAAATTTAAAAGATCGGCAAGGATATAGAAATTAGTAAAAGAATATTACACAGCAAGACTAAGTTTCAAAGACGAGTCACTTGTTAATATAACGAGTAATTGACTATTTATGTATTTTTGTGATGCGAAACACAGATACTCGTGGTAAATCTTGTACGTATTCATAAAGAGTTTCACACACTTTCGTCATCCAACGATCTAATAATCTAATAGGTTGTTGAAAACGCTCGCGTGACAATATCCGCGCGTCCGATGCTGAGCTCGAATTGTAAGATTTCAGCACGAAATCCACTCGGCTGCGCTGCCGTCGCCATCACGATGATTATCGAACGAGTCAATGGGACTCGGCGTGCTCGCTTTGATATCGCTGACGTATTAATCGCCCGATCAACAGAAAACAACGTTGTGACGCGCGTCCCACACATCCTCCGATTTTTTTCTTTCTGTTTTTTTTTTTTTTTTCTCTCTCTTAAATGGGTAACTGCCACTTCCTTTGCAGTTGCACATCGTTTAACGCCGCTGTCGCAACGATAAACATTATGTTCCGATCCGAGGGAAATCTTTTATAGCCCGGCCGTTTATAAAGAACGCACGCGTCATTAGAGATAATCATCTGTGAAAGCTTTTGAAAAACCATCCCGTGTACGTATTTTACAAGCGGGTTATTATCGCGCAACGACTTCAAATTACGGCTAATCTCATGTGGCCGATGCAATTCGTTTCACGATCTTTTGTCGTTAATTCGTTAGCTGCAGGGCATCCTAGACTTCATAGAAAAAAAAAAAAAAATAAGATAAAATAATAATTGATTCGAACATTACAAGAGAAATACGCGTTCGTGCGAGATAAAGATTCAATAAGGTAGAGAAAAATTCTTTGAAAACAATGCATTCGTCGTATTCGAGGCTTGTCGAAAATGAATCGAGCTCGAGTTGATTGCGATCGCGTCACGTAGATTCGACACGTTACAATTTCGTTGATCCCTCGAAGCAGCCAGTCACTTACAAACGTATCCTTCCCGCGCTGCGAGTCGCCCGATCATTCGCTAATCATTCACTATCAGGGCACGTACACTCGCGTACACGAACGAATGAACATACGTGGTAAACAAACGTGGTTAGAGAAGCGTTGCGAAACGAATTAATCGTAAATTAATCGCGCGAGTTTAATGTTATATCAGCTGTAGATCCGTTTAAGTAGGTTAGTAACGTAAGTACGACATTGTTAGCACGCTCGCTGAAGCCGACTAACTGAATGGCTTCCGGTTTGCCTGCTGCTCTCCTCCATCGTACTCTCCGGCCTTAGACGTCAACCGCGCCACACTTCCCGCCGCATTATTCGACAATGCACGGTGAAAGTTTGTCATTGACATCCTTCATAGGGGAGAATTATGCAAACGGATGCGGCGAAAGAATCGTTCTATGTGTTTCTTAAAATACGCATCGTGTGCCAAGGTTGAAGGAGCAGTATTAAAGATCATAGTAAAGAAATACGAATCTGTCTTCGCTGGTTTTCTCGCTTTAATTTTATTTTAATGTCAATTCGTTGGGCCAGAGTCGAAGATTATTAAAAAACAAAAAAAAAAAAAGCACCTTACACATCTCTAGCATTTCAATGATATGACAAGTAATATTTTTTTAGCTTATAAAAGGGCTGAGATATGCACGTTTAATAAAATTAAATAAAATGGAAATATGTATTATCTATAGTGATCTTCCCTTGTAGTTACAGGAATAGAACAAGCATATTTAATTTTGTGCTTTGTGGAGAATTGGGGGGCTATTTTAGGTCTAAAGATAATTCATTGGGGGTCCGTTATGTGATGTGTAAGGGAGAGAACAAAATTTTCGAGAAAATTCTTTCTGTGTGTGACTATTCTAATAAAAAAAAAAATTAATAATTGAATAAAATAATTTTTTATTAACAATAAAAATTCTTTCCATATGTGACTAAATTCTAATATGTGACTATATAATATGTGGCCATCTAATATGTGTGTCAGATAAAGAATGATTCGATGAAATTGGTTGCGAGAATGATCGGAGAATCTACGTTTCATTGACGCATTATCAGGTTTCATCGATGAAAAAAACGATCGAATGACAAGCAAAAATGTTGCAATTTAATCCATGTAAGACAGTGGCCTACCCGACACACACATTATTGTAAACAGGAAAATTGATTTTAACAAAAAACATGTTGCAACGTCACGAGAGTCATCGGCCGATCATGACGAATGGAAATTACATCTCTCGGTAGGCTATCCCCGACTTCTGACCGAGATAACGGATAACGGGAGGCGATGCATAGTCAGGAAAGCTGTGACGCAAGTTCGACGAACATTAGGTATTCGACGTGCCGCGGAACACGTACACGGAAATCTCGCAGGTGTTTGACACAAAATTTAAGAAACTAAACTCAAAAGTTCCATTTAGTCTTACACACTCGCAACGAAGATGAGATATTTCACAAGCGTTGGACCATAGTTTGGACAGCAGATAGGTTGCTCTGACAAACAGTAAGAGGAAAGAAACGAGACGACTGCTTCAAAGAGTAGCGCATTAGTTTTCTTCTTTCTTTTTTATTTTATTAATTTTTTTAAAAACGAAGATGTGTAGAAATTATTTTCTACAAATGGAACCTATTTCAGGTCGAATGCATTTCAGTTCTCAGATGTTTTATTGTTGCAAATACGATAGAAAAAAATTAAGAACATTTGGGTAAAGATAACAATCCTCTGCACGCTGACCGATCGAAAATTTCTAGAGTCGAACATCTGACGCTTGTAGGAAATTAAAAAACATAAAAAGAATGTTTTTTTTTCTACAAATGGAACCTATTTCAGGTCGAATCTATTTCAGTTCTCAGATGTTTTATTGTTGCAAACACGACAGGAAAAAAAAATTAAGAACATTTGCCTAACACTTAGGCAAAGATAATCCTTTGCACAAACGCTGACCAATCGAAAATTTCTAGAGTCGAACATCTGACGCTTGTAGGAAATTAAAAAACATAAAAAGAATGTTTTTTTTTCTACAAATGGAACCTATTTCAGGTCGAATCTATTTCAGTTCTCAGATGTTTTATTGTTGCAAACACGACAGGAAAAAAAAATTAAGAACATTTGCCTAACACTTAGGCAAAGATAATCCTTTGCACACAAACGCTGACCAATCGAAAATTTCTAGAGTCGAACATCTGACGCTTGTAGGAAATTCCATTTTAAATACATAAAAAAGAATGTGTATTCTTTTTTTGCTCGGGTCAGAGTCGTCATAAGGCTGGGCAGCTCGATGCCATTCTCGCAAGAGCTAAACGAATTGCAGGAAGAAGTGAAACCTCTGTGGAAATTACCATCCTGTCCTCGGGATTTTAAGCGCACCAGCGTCGAGAGGCTTTTCCGAGAGGCAGAGTTTGCGTTGGATTGGTGCTCGTTCAGACTGGTGAGTTTACGATAATAATTGAACAACTTGCACAATCAGTGATCAGAAATGAGATAGTGATGTTACGTTTCAGGTCGAGCAGGAACAGCAGAGCTTGCAGCAAGAAAGCGCAAGACGAGGTCCGAGTTTGAACGTATTAGAGTTGCCAGCTTCGGGCATATCTGAGCACACGGAGTGGCGTTGGGCTAGGTCAACCAAGGCTAGTATTCCCACGAGAAGTTACTTCGAAGAAATCGCCACTACGATCTTCGTCCCAGCGATCCTGCTTCTTGTCCTGGCTGCTCTGTTGAGCACGGTGCTCTGCCTCGATCGCGAGAAAATGTGAGTAGAATCTTTTGCAATTTTATTTGTACGTTTAAAACAGAGAAATTGTAACGTTAAATATGTTCATCAATATATATGTGAAACAAATTTTCCAACGATGAACTCGTCGTGTTCTTCGCGTGTTGACTCGGTCACGGTTATCTTCTTTTCATTTCTCTGGTGAGATCCATGAAATGGAGATGCGGTGTATTGGAAGAATGTCGACTAAAATATTTGTCATTCTATACGAAGCACGTGCTCGAGGAATAAATTCCAACGTATAGCGGTGCGAGCAACGAGGATAAGTGGTAGGGGCGCCAAGAGCAGTTAGAGGGGGCTGCTGCTACGACTGGTTTCATTCATAAACAGCCACGATATCTGGTCAAGTATGTAGTAACGTGCCGGACGGTACGATCGAAACGGCAAATTGCGTGCTCGATAAGAAACGATCCACGTGTGCATGCAGCAGAGCTATCTCGTAAGAGACGTTTCTTATGCTTGGTGCAACGGATGGGACATACAAAATAGGTAAATCAATTATTATATTGATTGTCAGTTACGTTTAGCTTTAAAAGGCCAAAGGATATTTTTCTTAAAGGATAAAGAGCGAAAGGGCGATATTTTCAATATATTTGTACAACTGGTTCGATAAATAAGGAAGACCCACCCATGCCAGAGCGTAACGAGAGGTCTCTGAAACAGAAATAAATAAGCGGCTTTTTTTCCTGGAGCTTTCACGTGTATAGCAGCAGAGGGTATAAATAGAAAGAGGTTCAGTATATCGCGACCCGTGTGCTGTGATGTACATCGATTAGTATACACAGTATACACAGTTCACTTATCGTTGAAGTGTACCAATGGCGCGTATCGCTCTCCTCCAGCGAGCCTCTCGGCTAATCATTGTATTACAAGCCACGGAATCATTCGACACAAAAAGATCTTGCGTACTTACTTGCGGTACGTGATGTGCATCGTTAACGATGCCAAGCAAGTTGAAACAACTTGGAATTGTTTCAGTTTACTGTACTTTGTAATGCTCATTTTAATTAACATACTCTAACTACTAAAATACTCTAAATAGAGTATTTTAACATACTCTAAATAGAGTATTTTAACATACTCTACTTTTCGTTTCGTTTCTTTTTCACATAAATTACTTCTATTACTTTGAAAACTCGGAAAACCGTCGTGTAAGCAATTTTATCTTCCCGTCGAGTCGTAGTGAAACTTGTTTTTCTGTTATCTTAAAAATCACGTGTTCTTAGATAAAGAGATCGTGTCGCACGGGTAAGTGACCGTATGAGAAAAAGATAGAGGGAGATCTTTTCTTATAACGACGTTGAGCATCTACTCGTGACGCAATTGCTCGTTAAATCAGCTCTCGTCGATCAGGAAATCGTCGGGCTCGGTTGCTGTTAATTAGTCGCGTGTCACTTCGTTTAGCAGTGCTGTTGACAACGCTGCTTCCGTTTCGAAATTGAACGTGCTAATGGACAAAATCTAACGCCATAAAGACGCAAATCAACGGGGGTCTATTTATAAGCGAATGACCCTGACGATCGCGTCACCGATTATTCGCGCTTCTTGCTGCACTTGCTTTCTATCTATGACCTTTAACTGAATTCAGGCTTGACAAAGTACATTTCACATATTTTACGTTCCATCATATATATACGTATACTATAGTCTCGAAGTGTCTAGTGATGCCAAAATGAAAGATAAATTGGTCTCACCGATAATTGACTTGCCGATATTAATCTTAAATCGAGCCAATCCTTTTTGAATTTCGTTCAATTATATTTTATATACATATTTAATGTTCTGACTGTATTTCAGATATTTTATATATTCTTTCGTATTATGTGCTTTCTACGCATTCTCGTCATAGTTCCCACAAAAATCTGCAGCATTTAATTACTGACTCGACACTTTTTAACGATCGTTTTAGCGATCTTCCGTTTACGATCACTCTTATAGTTCCGTTAAGTAAAATAATTACGGAATTGACGCTAATATAATCTGAATCATGTCTGTGTTTTCTTAGAAATGTAATGTAGTGGTAGTTACATTCCATTGAAATCGGAAATTGTTGCGGTAATTGAAATGTATGCGTCTACCTTCGAGCATTGTAGGATTCACCTCTTATCCTAAATCGTAATGTACGTTCGTTCCAGTTTGCTCGCGCAAATGCTCTTTTAAATTATTCTTTACTAAGTAGATTTTATACTGAATTGTTGTACATAGGGTGAAATAGATCGTGTATTGGACGATGAAATGCTCTACTAGTAATGTGACATTGCACTATTAAAAAAAACGAAGAATCCTCTAATTTCTTCTATCCTAATTACGAGTTCTTATTATCTTCTAATTTATCTTCTAATTCTAATTCTAATCTATCTTCTAATTCTAATTTATTTATTTTTCTTTTGATTTATCTTCTAATTTATTTTTCTTCTGATTTATCTTCTAATTTATTTTTCTTCTGATTTATCTTCTAATTTATTTTCTACGCCTGAAATAGAATAAACATTGAGCTAAAGAAAAAAAAAAAAAAGAAGGAACAAAGTAATTTGTACTGATACGTAAAAGACGCGTAATTGCAGAAGTGATTAGCTGCAAAATATACATTGGTATTCAAGGGAGTCGTGATCTGTGCACGTGATCAAGGTAATTGCCATCAGACTACATGTAATGCGGGTTATGTGAAAACAGGAATAGAACATGCGCGTCACTGTAGATATGATTCACAAAAAAATATATAACAAAGGCGTAAAGTTATATTACAGTATAAACAAATGTTAAATAAATTGGCTGTGTTTTTTGCACAATTTTCGTAGATCGTCAAACAATTTTTTCTTCCTTTCAATATCAGGTAATTCTTGTTTCAAATAAGTTGGTAAACAAGTATATTTATATTATCAAGAAATGGAACATTTAATTTTTTTTTTTTTTTTATAGACATGATCCAGAGTCAGAACAGTATTTCTACGAATTGTTTAACATCTTTCTTCATAAAAAACATAGAACCAGGTACATCTCAATTTCAAGATGTTGACTCATGTTAATAAATTTATTGTGGAATTTCTTGTTAATGCAATTACTAACTTGAATCGTAGTAACTAACTTTAACAAGTCATACTAGCAATTCCAAATATTTAGCCATTGATTAAAATCGCAGTAAAATTGTAAAAGAATTTTTACGATTCGCACTAATAATTTCAGATGCTCGATAAAATCGTGGACTAAAATCGTAGCTTCAACAAAGCGAACTTCAACGATTACCACTAACAATTTCAATTCGAGTCTATTAAATGCGCGCTTCTTTGATGTCACAACTACGATATAAGTGTACGCATGTATTAAAAACTTATTTAATCGACAAAACATTCATCTCGTCTTGCAGCAAGAAGAGAGAAACTTCGACAGGGGATGGAGTTAGCAACAACAACATACAAATGGTCCAGTATGCTGCCATCGAAAGGGGTACATTGAAATCGCTTTCTGCTCAACCAATCAGCCCTAATGATTCCTTGATACCCAGTCCCAGGTACTGTTCCTTCATTTACAGTATATTAAATGCAGTTAACATGTAAAAGTTTCCAGGCAAATACATTCTTCATTTTCTAGAAATAATATCTAAAATAATTTTAATTAATATTGGGCACAGAAACATGAAAAATAAAAATAAATATAAATTTGGAATGATACTTTTCCACGTGGCCAGATATTCTTTGTCGCATTCGTTAGCCTTGATTCCTGTATTTTATTTCTAGAATTTCCAACGAACGTTGCAATCCATACATTCGACCAAATCCACCGCCTTACACCGGACCAGGTAATTTGTAAGTATAATCGAATAATTTTAAGTGAATTTCTATTGAAAGTATTTATTACATACACGTGTACATTTATGTTAATTTCCTAGAGTGGGCCTTCGAACAGATTTCTGACTACACGAGGAGCCAGCAAAAACGTGGTTTTGCTAAATTAATAACGATTCATAATCGTGACTATCTAAGAAGAATCGCAAAATCATTTGAACTGGCTCCGTATTGTCTGTTGCTTTGTAATTTGATATGGGTAACATGCGTTACATAGATTGGTTTAAGACTGGATAGATCTAATGAAGATACTCTTTTTAAATTGCACGAAAATCATGATATCTTCTGTTGCACAGAGGGATTTCATTACTACATCACAAATTAGTATGTAAATTTAATACTTATTTATTGGAAAACAATGTGTATGTAATGTTTCTATTTGATATTTATAGTTAAAGTATTAGCCAATTCTCACGCTAGTCATTTTAAGTACAACGGTGCTATGATGCAATATTAATTAATACAACGTGAATTTTCAAACTAAATGTCATTTTATTTGAACCCTAATGATCCTTCTCCTGTCTAAAAAGAACAGAACTTTGTCATTGCTATTAAATAAAAATTATTTTTATTTCTATCATATCATAGCTTATTTGAATTGTCATTTACTCTTGATGAATTTAAAATTGTAGTTTATTCTTGACGTTTGTACAGCAGTCTAACCTATTTAATAAATGCGCGTGCGCAATATGGAATCATACCTCAATGCTAATTTTTTAACAGTCGCTTTGTCAAGAAATCTTGAATGTACATTGGGAAAGAAGTTTTTGATATTGAATAATTCATTTGTACGATAATTAATACGCAAAGTGAAAATATCTTAATAACGATTCTTTCAATTTTTGGAGCCATGGCTGGCATTGTACCATTATCTGGTAGATCTGGAAGAAAACAATGGACACTGCATGGTAACGCAACAATTTCACTTTCTATCTCCCGTAGAAGTTTATGATTTCTATTTATTTTGTTTAATTCAACGCCACTGTGGACTGATTTGAACAAAATGATATGATATTTTTCTAACTATGACAAACGATCAAGAATTCTTCGGATTTTTAGAAAAATATCAATTAGATGCTTTTGTTCTTTTTCGCAAAAACAGACTTTGACAGTTATCAAATCAAAATAAACAATGATTAATAGCAAGATTTCAATGTGAAATATTACCAACTCATAAAAGTATGTGCATGAACAAATGAGTAAAATCCAGTTGATAAAACTATAAATAATAAAAAGTATTTTGTTTTAAATAAAGGAATAATAAAATGATAGTTCAATTGCATAATTTCAGATGGACCAAGAGGTTCTCTTAGAAGATTAAGATCTCAGCTAGCTGAAGATGGTTGCCCAGAATCTCAAGTAGTTTTAGCAAAACAATTGTTGGAAGAAAGATGCGGTAATGATGCAAATTCTTATTTATATACTATTAAATACATTAAAATATTAATATGTATTTTAATATAACTTATGCATTTAGATTTAGACGTTGACAAGGAAGAAAATGCAAAGTTAGGTGTATATTGGCTTACAAAGGCATCGGAGCAAGGGAATTTGGAAGCAACAGATATACTTAGAAAATGTTTAGCCACTGGCCGTGGTATAACGCAACATAACTATTATGATGTCAAAACTTGTCTTGACATGACTCAAGATGAGAAATTAGCTAGGAGAGCAGCAAGAGAAATGTTTACCAGGTATGAAAAAAATTAAATTTGATTAATAAAATAATAAGTATATATTTATATGTACGTGCATAATGTATTTTACATTATGCAGTTTGTCAAATGGCGAGGATTTTATCACAACAGAGCAGCTACAAAAACGTATGAAAGATATAGCATCAAATTCATCCAGTGATAACTATTCTTGTTCGAATAATGTAGTACATAATAACTCACAAAAAGATATAAATGATGTCTCAACTAACAACTTTCCTAAAAATGAGCTTCCTGATGAATGTACATCTAAAAAGGATGAAGATAAAGAAAACAATGTCCACGGTGAGGAAACACACAGAGTAGTTATTACTTCGATTTTTATTAAAATTTATTTGTTTATAGAATTACATTTTTTAGATTGGATGGATCATCAAGGAGAGAAAATAACAGAAGCAGCTCTTGTTTCTGCTGCTGCTAGTTATGCTCGTGGTATGCTCCCAATAGTTTCACACGCACTGTGTATGATAGATCCATCTCAAATGGCATTAGATACTATACCGCTGCTACAAAGGCCTCTCATTCATCCCCTTGCATCTTTGAAACGTTTGTATATTTGGTTGATTGAAACGCTAGGTCAAAGGGGAATGTCAATTAAGAAGATTCTCTTCACATCGAATATACACATATTGTTACTTCTTTTACTGTACTCATTATTTGGTACAGAAAGCCTCATACTTTTCGTACCAATGGCTCTATATTATTTATCTTTCGTTGTTATGGTTATCGCTACTTTTCAAATGTTACAACGAAAACGCGAATTCAATAATTTTCGTGTTTGGTCTGGCTTGTTCCTCAGTTACTCTGGTGGAAATTTAAATCCCGACGAAGCGGAGTATCAATTTTGCTGCAATAATCTCAAACCTTATGGCCATTTCTTCCTTGCTTTACTCTTAAATCTAATGATTTATCCTATCATAGCTCATCAATGGACACCTCAGTCAGAATTCACTATTATAGCGGTTGCGTTGACGCTGATAACATTGTTAAACTTTATATGGAAAGATTCGTCCAAATTTCCGGATCTTTTAGCTCTCTTCAGTTTCGGTGTCCACGTTTTGGCGAAGTATCCGTACGAAACAGATATCGTAGTTGCCCAGGGTTGGAGATTTTTAGACATAAGAGTCCCAACGTTTGCCTCGTACGTTGTTGGTAACGGTATCGAATTTTGTTTGAACTTTCGTGCAGTTTTTTACCTCCTAATCCCGGCAGTGTTTGCAAAAATGGCTGCTCGGGATAACTGGCGAGGAACCTATCAAACTTTGATACCGCATTGTGTTACTTTAAGTTGGTGGCAAATAGCGATCTTTAGCTCTCAAGGTGCAACGTGGTACGGCTTAATTAGGGGTGCTCTCGCATTAGTTGGTATGGTCCTCTTTTTACCACTTGCTGGATTGGCTTCTATTATTTTGCCAATCGTAGCCGCTGCTAAATATTTGTCTGAAAGCGATTTAGCAATGAGAATAGCTGTAACTACTTTACTGGGAGGGATGCCATTTCTTGCCTCTTGGTATTTAAGGAAAACTCGAACGCCTAAGCTCAATTGGATAATTACCGTTGTACAGGTAAACATATCGACGTTAAATAAAAGAACGTTATATTACAAGAGCCAGAAGTTTTAATTGCTATGAATTTTACAGTTGGTCATGGGTATCAGTGCTGGCATGTTTTTATCATGGCCAGTGATAATGGAGTACAAACAAGAACCTGACACGTACGAAGGTGTTTCGTCACTTTCATGGGAACAATATCAAAATCATTGTCATCAGCCTGCATGGGAAGAGCTGTCGTCCAAGGCACAGGTGCAAATTCAATGTGCCAATTTGGAAGGAATATTAATTTCATGGGAAGGTTACGTAACAAATGTTAGGCTAAAATCAATAAAAAATAATATCGCGGCAATATTCGACAAACTGCCTGATAGTATTAGAGATGTAGTTAGTTGTATGTATGGAGAACCGTATATTAACAGTTGTGGCTCAAGCGGCGAGTTGAGGCAAGAAAAGTGCAAGCTTTTCGCGAGCGTTCAAAGACGACGAAACAAATGTCACTTTCCCGCTTGGAATAAGTACGAATTTGAGATTACAGTTAAAATGAAGAGTGGTATGTGGGGGAACAATGCGGAAATTTTATTGATCGCGGATCACTCTTTTACCAATTTTAGTTTGAATATATATCCAGGCGATAAAATTTGGTTTTCTGGTACATTTCTGAACGATGGTTTAGAGGACGAGTCGTTACTCGGTGGATCCGAGCCTCATATTGATTTGGAAGAAATTGGTTGTCTCGCATGTCATTCTATTAATTTAAAATCTTATAAACGTTATAAATATCACATAACGATTAGTTCGATTTTAAGCGATCTTTATTTAAGTGTAAAAACAGTTCTGAACTTTTTGTTGAATCCTATCGTAATGTTTAAATAGTCGCATCTTGTGCGACTATACAATGTATGAAATGTACAGTATCAAGCGTTCTCTCGAATATTAAGATAAAGTTATTTACAAAGAGATAGTATCCTGAATTTCCTTTCAAAGTATTACCGAGACATATTAATTGAAAGACTTTGTAAAGAAAGGAAACGAACGCAGCAGAAAAAACAAAATTGAAAATGCAGAAAGAAAGAATTTATAGTGTTGTAAATATTAAGTGTCAGTATTTTTCTCTAAAAAAAAAAAAAAAAAAAATGAGTTTGGTTAATTATATAAAAATATTCGGGTTATTTATTTTTTTAATGATTAAATTCGAAATTATTGTTTAAATGTTACATTAGATTTTTAAGAGTATATTTTTTAACTACTTTTAACTATTATCTATGAAAGGAAAAACATATTTTGATGTTACCAACACCTCAGGCATTAGAATTCATTAAAAACTCATCAAGTATCTACGTCAAAGAGTACACTTATACACGTATATTTTAAGATTGATATATTTTCGTAAGTATTACTGCCAGTAATAGAAATAAATGCGCTTAATATTTTTCTATTCCGTTTTCGGAAAATCGAAAGAGGTAGAACTTTTCGATTTTATTTTAACTTAATAGTAAAATATTACAACTGTTTTTGAAATGCTAAATTTTTAATGAAGGACACATCATTCGCATTCACGTCACGAATTCTATCAAATGTTCAAGAACGATGTACGTAGTACAACAAATGTGATGTGTATCTGTATTGATCTTTCATTTCTTAGGACTTAATACCTTCACATAAATTTATGAAGCTCGACGATATTTCGAAAATTAATTTAGTTGAAATATCTTTCCTCGTGTAAATGCTATGTGAATATTATATGTACTTGAAGAAGTAGTAAAGATATATACATGTATGACGTGTAGGATTGTTAAATTGATGTTAAGTGTTTAGATTTTAAAACAATTAAAGAATCTTATAACTGTCTAAAAGAGATGGCAGTTACTCTATATATCATATCAGGACAATAGTAAAAGATTATAGCAGAAACAAAAGACAAATATAGATGTGCCTTGATGTTTTCTGTTCAAATAAATACTATTATTTATACTATTATTTAATATAATATATAAATACTATTATTTAATAAAATATATTTTAAGAAGCAAAAATACTGTCATTAAATGCTTTGCTTCAGTTGCTTATAATCTTATAGGAAATATATTTTAATAGAAAATATTCGTTTTTACTTACAATTTTCTGTTTTTTATAAGGTAAATATTTTTTACACAATTTAATTTTTGTATTTAATTTTTGTATTTGGCAACGAGTGATGTACATTATTTTCACAAATAATAACATTATGTTTCTTAACAATTGTTTATTTCAAGATTTTGGTTCCCTTTATCTTTTGTATAAAACCGAATTGTACAGCACGAAATCACTATAACTATTCCACATTGATAATTTTTATATACAAATATAAAATCTACATCAGTAAAATCATTTCTATTATATCGAATCCATAGACGTAATGATAAGTCAAAGCGAGAAAAAACGCTCTTGTAGAAATCGATGATTATTTTTTAGAGTTCGTTTTTCTATCAGTAATGTAACGTACGATATTTTGCGTTAACAATGTGAATTATAATGTTGCTTCAGAAAACTTATTCTTTTACTTTTATCTCTTAAATTTATTGCAATTATCGCATTTTTTCAAACTAAAATTCACTTAAGGAATAATATGTTTAATTCGTACGCGAATAATTCAACTTATTTCTAAAAGAAATTTATTGCAGCAACTTAAGAATATGAAAACTAATATTTGGTAAAGGAACTTTGTATTATTCATGACAAACATTATTAGAACTATAATAGCGAATGGCGTAATTGGACACGTCTTATGATTGCTGCAATTATTTATACATTATTATGACAGTTTTATCCTTTGTTGACATATTTTCGTCAAAATATCTCGTAAACAACGTTCTCAAAATCGAAGATACCGTGAATGGATATTTGTTACTCTAACATTAAGGGGAACAGTCTTATGAACACGTTATGACTACACCTTATTTTTTAAAGAAAGAATATTCAATAGAAACAAAAGATTTAAAAATGGAATAATTCATAAAGCACCGCGATTTAATAAAATCGTTTCCTGCTATTTTCTTGATGTTTCTGATACCACATAATACCTATTACTACACAGGCGATTAATGCAAGCGCTGCTATAAGCATTAAAAAGAAAAACATTATTCTACTAAATGCAGATTGTTTTGGGTCATCTACGTGTTCTGTAAAAAAAGAAAAAGAAAAGAGAATTATAAGATTAAAACGATTACAAGAATTGATTTTGTCAAATATATTTCTCCTAGCATTTATTACATACCTCGAGGTGCATCAAAATATGCAGCTGATGGCAAAATATTCGATCTATCTTCTTGATCTCTTGGCTGGAATTGAATATAATGTATTCTTATAAATAATGGTGTAATATAATATTTAAGAATCGTTTGAAGTACTTAAAACAATCGTTTGAAGTACTTAAAACAAAGAATACTACTTACATCATCTGGTAAATCTAATTCAAATAAACGAATGGATAGTATATCATGATTATCAGATAAATCTCCTGTTGTTGCCGAAATTCCAATGTAATATCCTGTAGGCAGTTTTATGTCTTTTACAGAAAAGCACTCCTTCCATGCAGCTTTGTTTGAAAAATCTGTGGAAACTACAATAAAAAGGAGATGTTAGAAATTTTTCGCAAAAATATCTATACAGATATTGTATTTTATATTTACTTTATGCACATTAAGCTGACTTATTTCATGCTTATTACAAATAAGGAATAAAAATCATATATAAATTTAGTTAAATATACATTTAATATAAAAGCAACTATTTTTATACATTTATTTCATAAAACTTCATGCAGATTTGTTAATTGTTGTTTAAATATAGGTATTACGGGTTCTAATTATTTACTTGTAATAATATTTTCAACGATAAGTGAAATGAAGTAAAATAAAAAGATGATATATGTATAATGTATGAAAAGATGAAGAAAATATCACTTGCTGAAATAGAGGCACTCCATGATGTAAGCCACGAGGCTTCAGGGTAAGACCTTACTGTAATGTCAATTTGTAGAATACCACATAAAATGATAGAATACATAGAAAGCATAACTATAAACATCTATTTCAAGAAAAGATCAACATGAATATTTTTAATTACACGATTGCAATTCTCTCTCTCATTCTCTCACTCCCTTTCTCCCCCTCTCTCTCTCTCTGAAGACAATCAATATTAAGCCAATGTGAAGTTATCATTAACATTAAGGATATTAGTTGAATACAAATGAATGAAAAGGTTCATTTATTGGTAGAATGCAGTATTGAAACACTCTTTCACATAATATGTAATGAGATACTATACACAGTTATATGACAACATTTTTTGTCATGCCTAAAAATATTTTGTTTTTACATGTACTTACCAGTTAGTGTATCTCTTTCATATCTCACACCAATATGTGTATCATGTTCTAAATTTCTAAAGTTTGCTTCACAACCTGCAATTTGTGTATGCGTTCCATCGCGATCGTGATCATAATGCAAAGAACCATTATTAACCATGGCAGAAATGTAAGGATGTTGGTGCTGTAAAATTCAAAATAGTCATCACGACTTTAACTTTTAATTTATAATGCAAAACTAAAATTATTTCATATACATACATTGTGTGGACCATTGTGATTACTATATGTATCTAAAATTATGGCCAATCCCTGGAAATAATCTTGATTTCCAAAGACAGGACCTGTTTTCATTCTCTCTCTTGCATACCAAATAACAAAACCATCGCCAAACAAATCTTTTCCCTTTCCGTGAACTTTAAAATGAACTTGGAGCTCCCAATTTCTTACATGACACGGCTAAATAAACAAATATCAGGGTAACCATTCAATTAGGCTGCGGTTGCATTGTCTTGGCAGTTTTTAACTAAATAAAATCTTTCACGTGAGACGAGTTGGAACATAATTCTCAAGAATTTTGTTTTCATTAAATTGTTAAACATCTCAAACTTACGACTGAATTCCATATGGCACCCTGTTTACTCTGCAAATCTGGAGTTAATCTTATATAGTTATTTGTCACCATTGTACTACCCGTAAAATCCCAGTAGGGTATTGTCATTCCAGATCCTAAATATGTATTAAAACGTTCACATGTATTAATTCTTATCTACAAAACAGATTTACACTTTGCCTTTGTTATGGCTTTTCTTATTAATATAACTTTTTCATTCTAATGTACATTTACATTTAAAGTTATACATAATATAAAATAACATAAGGGATAAATAATAAAACGCAATAACAGTCATCTAATTAAGAATACAAAAATATGCACGTCATATCACATCGCACTAGAAACTCGAAGTATACAAAATTCACAAACCTTGATATGGTCTGATCAAAGAATGTTCTCGTTTCATATAGTCTTTTGTATTCCATTCTGCTGATACTAATTCTAATACACTAATTAATATCCAACACGGTATCACATTCATTTTGTATATTTCATATGGGCATAACAATAGTTTAAATATTATAGTCTCTACGTTGTATTTTCCGACAACTACGACGCGTAATTTGTAAAATCTACCGGAATCATCGTCGCATGATCTTTGATATCTTGAAATTAGTCACTGAAACAGTTCAGTTAATAGTCAAAATTCAAATATTTCTTCAAGCTGCGTCTAGGGATTTATATCGGTAGGAATCAGCGTTGCCATGCGACTTTTAGTTACAGAACAGCTACATGAAAACTGTGAACGATGATTCAAATTCGATTAATACTATTTAGGTTTCATTATGATTCTTTCTAATACCAAGATACCAAGAAACACGTCTTTTAAAGATCATTGGAGTTGAAGACAATTGAAAATATTAAAATATTTCTCGATCTGTTTATCGGTCACGTACGGACGATATTTGTGTGCATTAAAAATTTAAAGAACTTGAATATTTGCGGAACGCGCGAAACACGCGAGAAGAGAATGCAGAATACCCATAAAGCGAGATATGGTATATTTCACGATGACTTTTAAGTTTCGATTTTTCGAGCATATTATGCAAATCGTAACTTACAGGTTAAAATGAACAGATTGACACAAGTATGCATAATATAATGCGGTATTTCATAAAACATAGTTTTGCTTCTCGTTCCACGAAAGCCTCGCAACGCGGCAACGATGGCAGCGCCACGCGACACTGCGTGTTGATCTGTGCTATTTGTCAACGGAATTTACCGCTAGTATTGGAAGAATAAGGTACCGGCAGCGATCGTGTGAATGCGTGTACAGTTAGCGTAGCGTATATTTTTTCCTCGGAAGGTGTATCCCCCCCGTCGGATCAGTTACGTAAAAATCTCGATCCAATTACAAAGCCCAGGAGGGATAGCGAGGATAAATTCGTATGAGTGGCCGAGTGGCTGTTCCGACGTGATCTCGGCGCGTGCGTTTACACGATCGCGGTAATCAAACGGTATTATTACATGGCGTCTCGTGTCGATTGTATCGCCGCGTCGTTCGACATGTTTTCCGAATAACATTTCACGCTTGGTTACGTGCTGATGTTGTAAGTGGCCGGGAGAAAGAAAACGAAAAAGAAAAAGAAAGAAACGACAGATAGAGAACAAAAAAGAGACGGGAAGAAGCGATCGAGATATATATACATACGTATACGTATATCTGCAGGTATATAGGTAGATAAGCAAGGTATTGAGATAGACAAACTCGATCTTCCGTGATTGAACGGTGGGGAGCTTGTCGCGTTTACGTGGGCGAGGGTGGGTCTGCGAGAAAAGGGCGTGGAAAAGCGATCACAACGACGAGTTAAATAGGCAGGACGTAAACGTACGCTAACATTATGGGTAAGACGCCAAAGAAGGCGACCTCTGGGGGCGATGAGAGGAATTTGTACAATTGGAGACTCAAGGCAACGACCGCGCCACCAAATCCTTCTGAAACTAGCTTGCACAAGAGACAGCGCGAATCCACGATTTCGAACAGGTTTGTAAAATCAATCAGCCCAATGAACAGCAAGTTTATCCATAGTTTCTCTGTTTAGCCTTCCGCTTTGTTAGTTTCTCCTTTTCTCTCATTCTTTCGTCGTTCTCGAGCCCCCCCTCCTCCGAGATAATCGCATCTTACATGCAAACAATCTTTCTCGCTCGTATTTTTTGCGAAGAAAAAGGTCGACAGACACGCGAGTAATTTCTTTCATCGTGCATTCCCCCTCCTGCCGAGGATAAAGCGGTGGGCAAGTGTCACATTTTTACCAGGAGATAACTACCGATGTTTTGCTAATATTTTGTGAACGAAGACCTTTTACTTTACTTAGTGCGAATTTCCGAACTCTCGCGTACTTGGTTGACTTTGCACGCGTGCAAATTGAAAGACACGGTTTCCCAACAGATTTTATTGGATTAGAAGTAACTGGAAGTTGGAACTAACTGAAAACGAAATGGGCAAATAAAGAGGAAACATGTAGGTTTGTTAAGTAAATCGGTAAGGGGAGAAACTTTGGTGTAGCTGCTTTGTCAAGTATTTTTTTTCTTTTTTTTTTTTCTTTTTTTTTTTGGATCAGTACCTCTCATCACCTCCAGAATTTCTAGTTCCGTGGATTATAAATATCCGTATGATTCTTTCCTAATGATTTTGAACGTTACAATACTTTTATTTCAGATCTAAATTGAGTACCTTACAGAAGAAAGTACCGCATAATCCAAGGAAGAACTTTAAAGTGAGTCTCATAATTTTCTCAAAGTTTCTTTTTTGAAAATGTTTTTGTTGACCGCCCTGCTAAAAAACTATGAAAAAATACGTTTGTTATAGAAGAAAATTGAGACGTCGACGAAATTTGAGCTGACCCGTATTGCAAAACTAACCACAGACAATTCAGATAGAGCGGCTGGAAGCTCGAAGAAAAAGAAATTAATTGTTCCAGAAAGGAGCGAGGAATCAGACGCCGTGAAGATGCAGCCAGAATCAGAAGAGGCAGATGCAAAGCTAAACCCAACCGTAGAAATGACGTCCACCAAAACAGATAGTTCTCAGGATGCGGAAGAATCTGATAAGAAGTGTGATCATGCTACTGGCAAATCTGTTTCAGTTTCAAAGACACAAGAGGATTTAGAGACGCAAGAGGTAAATAATGAAACAGTAGTTGAAAAGGAGGAGTCTAAACGCCAAAAGAAAGTGAACAATTCTGATAAAAGTCAAGAGGTGGAGGATTCCGAGGAGAGCAATTTAAATTTGCAGTTCGAAGTGGAAGACAATGTTGAAAACACAAGTACGGAAACGACGAACGATGCAGATTTAAAGAAAGAGGACGATGAGAAATGCTCTTCTGAGGCAGAGGCAACGAAGAACGACACGCAAGAGAAGGAAGATCTGCAGAGCGAGTCACAAACCGAGACGGAAAGTAATTCGGTAGACATTCTGGAATTCACGACGTCGGAGATGTCAGAAACGTCGGAGACCCCGTCGCAGAGCGAGGTTCAGAAGGAGAAGGAAGAAGAGAAGGAGAAACCCGAGGAAGGTGCGAATAAGAACGCGTCGTTCGTTTCGTACGATCCTTCGATAATGTTGAAGGACGTGCAGATCAAGCTGAACGACTGTTTGAAAGAGAACTCGAAGTTACACGATACGGGTAACGTTAGTCATGGTACGTTGAACCAGCCGATGAAGGACATGTCCTTCGGAAAGACACTGAGAAGCATTTCCGGGCGACGTTCTCTCAGCAGAATGCGTCACGTTACTTTACGCGAGCATAGGTACTCGCCGAGTGACTCAATGTTCGTCAATACGTCGAGCGCATCACTGCCGCCAGACGAAACGATAGACTATAAGATCCTTCGTTACAGCAGCAACTTGTCCGACACGCTTTCAACCACGAACGGTAGTCCAGTCGACAGAAAGCGAAAACAGGACGCCGAGGACTGGAATTCTATCAAGAAGCAGAAAATAGAAGCCGAGAACAGCTTGTTACATAGTCCCATCAGTTTGTTGAAAGGGTTACGCAAGCCTATACAAGTCTCCACGCCGGTCTCCGAGTTGAAGTTTCAGTCCGATAAATTGGAGCTGGACGAGAATAGTAAATCGGCGAGCGAAGGTAGCAAAAAATGGTGTGTTATCATGTAAAAATTATCGTCGGAATCTCCAGCGTCGATCGATGAGAAAGAATTTTTATATATTTTTGCACGCGAAGGAAGCACGGTTCGTGTTATGCCATGCGTTTGGATAAACATGCCTAGGTATATACATGTTGTATCGTATCGTATCGTATCGTATCGTTGAGTTAAACCGGAGAATTATATTTCTTCGATAAGGCGAAATTTTTTTTTCATTTGTTCGTATAGGTTTCTACGTTTATTATTATTATTTTTTTTTTTTCATTTCTTCCACGTTTTCTTTTTCTTCTATTATCGTCTTAAACAATTGGCTAGTGCTTTGTTTCTCTGAGACAAAATGTTTATGGTATTATAGTTTTTCTAAAGCATTTCTATTCTTTACACGAGATACGTATTATATTATAAAACAGTGTAATTCCACACGACAGAGGCTCATGAAAAGATATTGCATTCTTAATGAATAATCTTTTAAACTTCGACTATATATATTATATGTATATTATTAAGTACGTCTTATATTTGTCACTAGCAGTTGAGTATATTTTATACGAACAACAGAGTGTAATTATATAAAGAAATATGTAATGGTAGAATCCGTCATCCCATCACTCGAGAAGCTACTTCGCAGACTATATTTTTCAAGTATGCTACGTGTACTCCCCTCGTGCATTGTATCAGCCACATCGATCGATTCTTGATTATGTAGATACATTCGAGTCGTTAGAGAACGTATCTTCGTTCTGTTCGTTTTGTTCGCTTCAGTTTCAGTTTAAATATCGCAACAGATTATTTTACTCCATTGACGTTACAAAATATATTTTCTCATATTACTAGACGTAAGTCGATTATCATCGTAGGATACCTACTTAAGAAGAATAAGTTTATGTTTCGATAAAGGAGACAGTCAAGTCAATCGGAAGTCCAAGGATATTGTATAAAGAAGTACAATATGTTGTTTGCCCTGTGCGTCCGCAATGTCGAAGCAATTCTAGAGCTTGCATTACATTTTATCGCGAGATTCACGGAAATCTCAAGTTAGTAAGACTGCAATGACAATTTTACTTATTTACATGCGTAGGATTAAAAATGCGGTTTGTTGCGAAATGGCTCGTATTTTATGGACAGTACCTGCGACGAAGTTGCTGTTCCCATTTTTCTTGAGGCGTTGGGCTCCTAAATTAACGACGATTAAACTTTTCTTGAAACAAATTCACCAAGCTACGTTTCACACAGGTGAAATTGCACGACGAGTGCTACAAATAAATATGTATATTCTGTATTTATTCCTGAACGTTCAAGAAAATACCAATAACGATTGTTTCTCGATTTGCACGAAAGAGGAAAAGAAAAAAAAAAAAAAAAAAGAACAAGAATAAGTTTAACACGTTTGCCCGCGCGAATTTTTATTGGAAAACGCAGAGCAGTGTCGTGATTAATTAAATCAAGATCACTTTTCTTTCCGTCGCGATGCATTGTTTTCTTTTTTTCTTTGAAAAAATACGATGTCCTTTTTGCGACAGTAAAAACGCGAAACACTATTTTACGACACTGATTCACAGATACTCAAATTTGCCAATGCATGTCGATAACGGAAGTAGCGGAGTAGTTCGAAACGATTTCGAAGGAAACATTGCGAAATGCGAAACATTTGCAATTGATGTTTGTTAGATATGGTTGTAAGTACCGGAGAGTCGGACAAAGTTATTACATGTGTCGCGTCGAGTATGAATCTGTCGAGCGTTGTTTCGACAGTTAGGTTCACGTTTTTATTGCGGTGAATATCCACGTAATTCCCGGAACATAAATGCACACGCGTACAGTATTTTTTTCTCCATGACGTTCTTTCTCACCATGACGATCGAACAACAGAAACATTCATCTTCCACGTAGAGATTAACACGTGTTTCGCGTTTCCAAAAACTGCAACTGTTGAAAGTTCATCAGAGCCGAAACGTGTGTGTAACACAGCTCTACGCACTTTTCTACTTGTTACATCCAAACGAAGAAAAGAGAAAAAACTAAAAAAAAAAAAAAAAAAAAAAAAAAAAAAAAAAAAAAAAAAAAAAAAAAAAAAAAAAAGAAAAACAAAAAAAAAAAGAAAAAAGGAAAAAAGAAGAAGAGAAGATTGAAAACCATGTATGAATAATGTATATAGAAGATATGAAGATTTATAATAAACCTTGGAAATCTGAGAGGCCAGTCGTTACGGTACTTTAACCTTAACCTCGGGCTTTTATTTTATAGCTGCAGACGGGATCGAGAACAGGAAGCAGGTTTTCGTATCTTTCGAGGCGAGATTCCTTACAAGCGTCAGCATCTCGACGGTGTGCGTCAGAGATTCCTCATTGGACGAAGCGCACTTCCTCATTTGCCTTTTTTTTTCCAGCTTTCATTTCGCTCCAAATCGCTCCAAACGTCCTCCAAAAGTCTCTTTGCAATTTCAAAAATTTATCACAGAGGCAAATGAAAAGACAGACAAGTGGGAATTAGTACAAAATGAGGTGTATGTATTTAAGTTTGTTTTTCTGCCTCTAATTCTGACAATTCAAAGAGAATTGACGATTTATATTTTTTAATTAAATAGATCTTCGAACGCAATATTGAAAAATTAACTGTAGAGAGATAGAAACATGCTTCTCCATTGCATCGGTTTACAATGGTATAAACTGCGTCTGTAATCAGTTTGTGTAAAGTGAGCATGTATTAGCTCGTCTATTTATAAAGTGAGTATAAGCATGCTTGTTAACTCACATTCGTAAGTACACGCCAGACTCGATCCCATCCCTCGTTTCCAAGTAGACGATTCACGACAACACAGCCGCAGGTGAGTTACTTCGATACTATCTGCTTAAAAGATAGTTCGCTTAAGGGAATTAGCTAGCGTTCCTTCGCGAGTTTGCTCAGGATAATCAATTTGGAAACGTTTGAAACGCGTACGGGCTGTTGTGCTTGTTTGGAGAGACTTACACCTGACTTCGTTAAGAATTTATGGCGACTTGGCGTTAATCGTCGCGTTAATCGCCGACTCTTAGAACCACTGTGTTTATACTAGTGCCGTTTCCTGCTAATCGTCGCGTTTCAAAAGAGACTTTCTTAAGCAGTATTTGATCTCAGTTTTCCGGCTTTAGTGTTCGAATATGAAGGAAAACAATATTCTATAATAAGATTAATAATTTGGAGTAATTTTTGTGTAATTTAGGGTAATTTTTTGAAAGATATATTCGAAGTTGTGATAGAAGGATATTCTTGTAGTTCTTGTAATTGGGACTAAACGCTCTATTAAATTTGATTCTTGGAGAGTTATTGTCACTCGCAAGTCGTTGATGAAATTTCATCTAAATATATATATATATATATATATATATATATATTTATATTTATATTAAAATTATAAATATTAAATTTCATCTAAATATATATATATATATATATATGTATATTATATATAAATATATATATATATATATTTATATTAAAATTATAAATATTAAATTTTATCTAAATATATATATATTTATATTAAAATTGTAAGTATTAAACTTTATCTAAATATATGTATATTTACATTAAAATTATAAATATTAAATTTCACCTAAATATATATATTTATATTATCTAAATTTTATATCTTTATAATTTTATTTATATCTAAATTTTATCTAAATATATATATTTATATTAAAATTATAAATAATAAATTTTATCTAAATATATATATATATATATTAAAATTATAAATATTAAATTTCATCAAAATGTATATATATATATTTATATTAAAATTATAAATATTAAATTTTATCTAAATATATATATATATAAAATTTAAAAAAGTATATATATATATACACACACACACACACATTTTTAAATTTTAAAAGTCAATAACACCGGACAAATGCAATTAAACGTTCCGTAAAATTATCGTTTGCAGTGGTTACAAACAACGTTGCATTATCGTAGAACGACAACATTGAAACAAAAATTCGCGTGAAATGAAATTTCATCGACGAGAGGAGAGGCGCGAGCAAAAGTGAATAATTGCGCGACTGCGTATTTACTCATAATGAATGGCACGACACTTGGCGAGATTTGCATAAAGCTCGAGGGATAATAACATTCGGCAGGCAATGATTTTATTTACGAAGTCACGAACAACCGAGCAGAATCATTTTCCATCGAATTTATTATTTAATCGATCTGTTGCACCGTTCTTGATCAAGATCAGATTAAATTTCATTCGAAATATATATACGATACGTGCTTGCTAACAGATAGACAGTAAATTTTCATTTTTCATTTCACATTCCATACATTCGCAAAGTTTGCTTCTCCTCCGATGAGTTAAGTATACAGTAGGCAGAGTTACTATGACCGAGGCAAAGCCACTCGTCGGGGGGGAATGATTGATCGTGGAATTCAAAGTGCTCAGATGATCCGATTATTCTGGACTCCATCAACGGGGAGGGGATCAATTGCGAGAGAGAGACAGAGAGACAATTTTTCTCGAGTTTTCTTCGTATTAGATCAACGACAGGGGGAAAATATCGCGGTGTGCTCGTGTAAGGAATTCGAAACTCCACGAAATCGACAAGTTTCATCGTCGGTTTGCCGCATCGATATTTCCAAAGTAGCATCTGCGGCTGCTATTTGCCGCGTCTAATACAAACTCTCAGCCGTGCCCGAGGGCAGTTGCGATTTCTTTCAATGGAGGAGCATCTGTCGGCGGGGAACTTCTTATTCTCAAGTTAAAGTAACCAGTTACGGCGATATAGAAACGCAGTATGGATGAAAATTTTATAAACGCGCATTGCACACAGCCACGCGAACGGAGAAACGTGCAATAAAATGCTAATTGGAAATTTAATGTAAATAAAGTAAAGTGTATTGTGCGTGCGGAGTGGCTTTGCCTCGATTCAAAAGTTTCTCTGTCCTCTTTAACGTTGTTCGAATTTTTTAAAATTCTTCTCGGAAAAAAAATTTCACGAAACATATTTCTAAACGAAACGTATTTCAATAGAAAGTAGGAATGGCAAAATGTAGAAGTGTGGAGTAAATTCTTGAAATTTCTGTTCGATGTGAAGTTTTCGATGTTTGTCGAGTATATTCGTCGTGCATTTGCTATTAAAATGTAATTTAGATGAGACGAAAAGCATATTTAATATATTTATAAATTATAATTAATAATTATATACTTATAAATTATAATAATTAATAATTTAATATATTTAATATATCGTAATTTTAGAATACTTTACACTTTAATATATCGTAATTTTAGAATACTTTACTTATTTTTAAAATATTTTAGAATATAGGACCAAGAGAATATAGGAATATATTTTAGAACATAAGAATAATTTAGGAATATATTTTATTCATAAGAGAATATAGGAATATATTTTAGAACATAAGAATATTTATAAAATATTTTAGAATATAGGACCAAGAGAATATAGAAATATATTTTAGAACATAAAAATAATTTAGGACCAAGGGAAGAAAAATTATTATCAACTATAATTACACGTAAAGTTTCCTGAACAATTTTACAATAAACATATTCATAACAGACTATTCGTAGTAAAATACGATTTAAAGAAAAAAGAAAACTTATTTATTCGTGTGCTTTCCCTCGAGTATAATGTACTCGAGTCGCAGCTCGAAAATAATTAAGCACGCAAAAAGATGCACGTTCTCAAAATGAAATAAAACGGTAAACAGTGTACGAATTGACTAAACCGAAATTGACTAAACCGAAATTACGAACGTTCGTTGTTAGCAAGCAACGTTGGAGTTTCGAAAAAGAAAAAAAAAAAAGAGTAGATCGAACGTTTCGTTAGTTAATCGTAGATGTTCGGTTTTATCGGCGAGACTTCCGCTTCCAAGATTCCTCGATTGTGCGAACAACTCAGGCCTGGTTTGGGTTAGCGAGCACGAGGTCGCGAGGAGGCATTAAAGAATCTCATCACGCCGCTAACGCTAAAACCCTATCTCGCCAGAGAGGGTAAAGAGTTGCGACGCGTTTCTGTTACACAAGACGGAGTATAAATGTAATTCCAGCTCCCCTTGGGAAATTCAAGACTGCGACGAGGCACGCGTGGAAATTGGAACAGCCAATGGCGTAGACATTCACCTAACATCCTGCGCGATATTTCCTTCTCTTCGCTCCAGCTCCGGCTAATCGTACTACTCCATGATTTCTTTGTCCCTCCACTTTTACTTTATCGGAAAATTCTGTTTTCTTTTCAGTTTTCTTAACGTTTTCCGATGGAAAATTCCAAGAGTTGACGCGGCGCGGGCCACCGGTGATCGATGGAAGTCCCTTCGTTCGCACTCGGGTCATCCCTGAGTCCATCGTGTCAACTTCATGAATTTCGAAGCACGGAGACGCGTGCATCATATTTGTTCGCCTACAACTTCTGTGTACATACTGTGGGCGTCGGTTGGAGGACTTTTTCGTTTCACGTGGCTCGCTTCGTGACCATCGATCAGTCGATCACGAATTTATGAAGTGTACAAATGTGTGTTCGCATTATTAGTTTACTATGCGTAGTTCCCTTACTGCGCAGCCGGTGCTGTTCAGATAACTATCTGGCTGGAGTTAGATTTACTTATTGACTGACATATGTATGTACGTTTAGCCACGGTGACAAATTTTGCATAGATCTCTGGTTAATATTACGATATTACGCGTTGTACAAACAGCATTTCCCATAGATCTAACTAAATTATCCGTTGTTTTATGTTTGCGTATTCGTTGATTCATCTCGCTTACACGAGTGAAAATATTTTGCAGGAAAATTGATTAAATATATCCTACAACTGCAAACTTCAACGTTATACGAACGCTGAATACACAAAATTGAATCAATGAATATTTCCATGTTTGTTACATAACTATAAACTAACATTGCACAAATTAAGCAAACTCACTTAAGCTAGCTTCAGTTATAGAAAATACTTCTGTTATGCTCATTCTTTGTACACTTAGGTTCTTCACTATACACACGTATTATAGATATCTTAACGTTAGAACAACCAAACCTGTCGATATGACAAATTTCAGATTTCCCCATTTCAGTCATAGAAAATACTTTTTGTTATGCTCATTCTTTGTACACTTAGGTTCTTCACTATACACACGTATTATAGATATCTTAACGTTAGAACAACCAAACCTGTCGATATGACAAATTTCAGATTTCCCCATTTCAGTCATAGAAAATACTTTTTGTTATGCTCATTCTTTGTACACTTAGGTTCTTCACTATACACACGTATTATAGATATCTTAACGTTAGAACAACCAAACCTGTCGATGTGACAAATTTCAGATTTCCCCATTTCAATTAATATCAATTTCTCTGTTTAGACAAAAATATAATTTTACATTTATATAATATAATTATGTAACATATATATATATATATATATAAAATTTATATAAATTGTATTTATTTCAACTATCATGATTTATAATATAATAATTATATAATTACACAATTATAATAATATAATTACATAACACATGAAATGAAAATGTTGAATCGTCAATCCCTAGAGAATGTTGCTTACGTTTGAACTTTTTTTGCCCTTTTTTGTTGCTTTTTTTTAGGCAATGTAAGAAAATGTTATGTAAAAGTTATGCTAAACAAGAGCATTTCTTTTGTTTCTCTTTCAATGTTGCCTCTTATGGTTCATAATATGTTAAAATAAACAAATATGTACTTTTGCTTTACTTTGCCCTCCAAATTATAATTTTTAGGCCCAGTTAAACTGTCCTGCTCCCTTAAAAGGTGAGGACGACCGCTTTGCGAAGGCAAGGTCCCTGGCAGCCTTCCCTCAAACCCGGCCACAGTACTGTCTTAATTCTGGTACCGTTCGGGTCCGGAGAGGCGTGATGCCTCAGGTGAATATCTCGCCTGAATTCCAACGCTTGGGCCACATCGAGGACCAAGGGCGTGACACGGGCCAAACAGGCCCATGCCAAACTGGAACAGGCACCGGCGTAGCTCTTCACCTCCGCGCATCCCCGCAGACACGGAAAGTCGTACAGCGTTCTTTCCAGCTGGTTCACCACTTGTTCCGCGACCTCGCGGGAACCGGTCCGCGCGCCGGAAGTCGCCAACTGCCGCTTCACGCATTCCTCCAGCTCCGGCGTTGCCTGCATCGTCGCCGCGGTACCGTTCAGAATTTTCATCGCCTCCAGATACCTCGACGTCTGGATCATGCCGGCCAGCCGCCAGGAGAGCTGCGAACCAGTGCAGAGAATACAATAATGTAGTATACATATATATATATATATATAAATTTTATTTTCGGCCTCTGCAGCTAAGGAAAGGAACCTGCACAACTTATCATACAGATCTAGGATTAACTGATCTAGGATTAAACTAGAAAATACAGAACATTATATTATAGCCTGCTTAAGAACTATTTATTATAAACTCAAGAATATTATAAAGATATATATAAGAATAATGTAGTATCGGTTATTATAATTAATCTGTAGTTGTACGTTTAGTTATGTTTAAATGTAAGATGATGGCTTGTTTGTTGATCATAGAAATATGACAAAATATGAACGTGATGCGAGAGTCCAACATGGAGGCATGGAGCGGTTTTCTTTTTTAAAGAGACCAGAGTCGAGCGAATTGGAAAAACGAGTCGTGAGAGTCGTGAGAGAGCATTCAGATAGAGCTGTTAAAAGTGTCAATTGTTCAGCGTTGTTGAAAGAGTTTATTTGAGTTGTTAATTCGTGTTGATTGAATGTTATTTGTCTTCTTTAATTATTTGTTGTTCCATTATCATTACCCCTATTAAATAAATATTATTTATATTATATCTCTACAATATTATTTGTATTATATTTCATATAATATTATTTATATTATATTATGTTATATCTCTACAGTATTATTTATTTATATTATTTGTTGTTCTATTATCATTACTCCTATTAAATAAATATTATTTATATTATACCTCTACAATATTATTTATATTATTTATATTATTTGTTGTTCTATTATCATTACTCCCATTAAATAAATATTATCTGTATTATATTTCATATTATTTATATTATATTATATTATATCTCTACAATATTATTTACTTATATTATTTATATTATTTGTTGTTCTATCATTACTCCCATTAAATAAATATTATTTATATTATATCTCTACAATATTATTTGTATTATATTTCATATAATATCATTTATATTATATTATGTTATATCTCTACAGTATTATTTATTTATATTATTTGTTGTTCTATTATCATTACTCCTATTAAATAAATATTATTTATATTATATCTCTACAATATTATTTGTATTATATTTCATATAATATTATTTATATTGTATTATACATCTCCACAATATTATTTATTTATATTATTTGTTGTTCTATTATCATTACTCCTGTTAAGTAAATATTATTTATATTATATCTCTACAATAAGACGAAGTGCAGGGAGTAAAGTAGATTAGATTCATAAAGAGTTGAAGTTGTTGAAGATGTTGAGTGTTCTTAGACAAAAAACTGGATCAAATACTTCTGTTTGCATCATTGTCTGTTTAAGCGTGACCAATAAAAATTTATATAAAAGTGTTATCTCCAAATTCTTGGAACAAGAAATTCCTCTTATGAAATAAAATCAGCGCTCCGAGTTTCGAAAGTTTCAAGCCTTCGAAAGTTTCGAGTGGTTCGAAATCTTGGGAAGTTTCGTGCTCGAGTTCCGAGAATTTAAAAATTAAGGTTTCGAACCTGTCCCCGGTTGTACCACTGTGATTTGATCAGATTTGTAAGCAATTTAAATATTTATAAAAATTACAAATATACCTATAATAAGCATCGAAGATAATTCCAGCGAAAATTTGAAACTTATTACTAATATTATGATGATTTCTACCGAGTTAAATACCAATGAGCGAGAGTATCTACTTAGTTTTATTATATCGCTAATGAAATTTCAAAATGTTTCGTGTATAATACGTATAATATAAGTAGATCGCAGGTTTTTATGTAAATTCATATTTTTGACAATACAACAGTTTATTGTTTTAAATGACAGGGAATATAAGGAATATAGAAAGCACCATACTTTGACTATTTCATATATTTTTTCGTACCGTGTTCGGAGGAAGTTAAAAATTTTTTTATAAATCTATTTGTAAGTGTAAATGTACAGATCCTTTCATGAGTACTGAAACAATGACGACTGACTATCTAACAATTTTAGAATCAAAAAAAACTGACGGAATGGTTGATAACACATATTTACATTCTACGTTACAATTTTGTCATCATCATCATAATATTTTCATTGTAAACAATCTTGCGCTGGTAATAAATAAAGCGGACCATAACGAGTGACCAAACCGTATAATTCGTCTTCTTTGAATTCATCGTTATACCACTGGATAGAAATTAATACTAATTAATAATAAATTAATACTAATAATACTAAGAAGTAATAAATTTATTATTTGTTTTGTCTGGGTTATATTTTTATATTTCAATATTTTCATATTTATATGTTTTATTATTTTTATATTTTACATTTTAATATTTTTATATTTATATATTTTATTATTTTTACATTTTATATTTCAATATTTTTATATTTATATATTTTATCATTTTTACATTTTATATTTCAATATTTATATATTTTATTATTTTTATATTTTATATTTCAATATTTTTATATTTATTATTTTATTATTTTTATATTTTATATTTCAATATATTTATATGTTTTATTATTTTTACATTTTGTATTTCAATATTTTTATATTTATGTATTTTATATTTCATATTTCAATATTTTTATATTTATATATTTTATTATTTTTATGTTTTATATTTCAATATTTTTATGAGTAAATATTGCAATTTTGGGCCAAATATTCTCGACATTCCAATGCAAGTGGTTATTATCATTCGCTCCTTGAGAAAGACGAATCACTCGTTATATATTATCGTAAATCATTAAACTGACAAAAGTAACATTCCATTTTCAGAAATAAAAGTAACCTAAATTCCCATCCACCATCCTCTTCCCCTTAATCCCTCGTAAAGACAGAACTAACTTTCTTTCGATTTTTGGGTCAACGAGTGGCTGCCGCGGCTGACAGATGAAAACTCGTGGCAAGCACCGCGAGTTTACGAGCCGGGCGAAAAAGATCTCCATTTTCCAAGCGAAGATCCTCCTACTTTTTTCCTCTTTTCTTCTCTCTTTTTTCTTTTTCTTTTTTTTTGCAAGACGGCGAAAGCTGGCCATGGCGAAGTGGCCAGTAACTTACGTTCGGGATCCCCGCTGATAATCCTATGATTTATTCACCGCCTGGAAAATGGATTTCGTTTCGACGCGTGCTGTTTACGACATCTCGTTTCCCTCTGATTTTTTATAACTCCAGCTCGAACGTTTCGCAGACAGACTTGCCAACTCGCTTCTCTCGACCCGTTTTACACCCGATTTGTTCAAGAAGAAAGAAAAAAAAAAAAAAGAAAAAACGTTTTCACGTCGTTACGCGAAATCGTTTTTTGCCGGGGAAGCTCTCAGCGAGCTTATCGCTCAATTATCGTTCAATTATCGCGCGACAGACCGCACGTTCGAAGATTAAGCCATTTTTTTCTCCCCTCTTTTTTTTTTTCCGCGACGAATCGCGGTTATCCACGCTGCGTGACAGATTCAAATTGCCGCGCAATTCTCAGTCGAGTGAAAACGCTGTGCAACGCGTTAAATTATAACCGAGAAGTGATATATATATTGTATAATAGTTTAATATTATTTATAATAGGTATATAGAATATAATTATATATATATATATTATATATAATAGGTATATAGAATATAATTATATATATATTGTATAATAGTTTAATATTATTTATAATAGGTATATAGAATATAATTATATATATATTGTATAAGCGTTGTGAAAACGTTCGTTCGAAAACACTCGTCGAGCCAAGAATCGCGAGCGCGCTACTTGCGCGACGTGTTTTGTTCCTTTTTTTTTTCTTTGTTTTCGTTTTCGCCAATTAATCTTATTAATTGCCTCTTTTGAATTGGATTCTCGCGGCGTAAAAATTTTTTAATTAGCTCGGCTTCGAGCGCGTGGCGTGATTTTTCACGAATTTTCCTTTCCATCGGCAATTGTTAATTTAATTTCGCACTTGATCGTTTTTAATCGAATTTTCACCGTCGCCGACTGAAAAAAAAAAAAAAAATTAATCTCGTCGCGTTAGAAATTCGGACCGAGCATTTTTTGGCGTTGTCACACTTTCGCCCGTGTGAATTACGCTGTCGAACGACAGTAATTTATTGAATGGTATCAACGATGAGCTGACAAATCACTTAGAGTTATAAATTACTTTCCCCTTTCTTCTTCATTGGCGATTTTACGCTGAACGAGACAATTGCTCGATTTGTAATTTATCCGACTGATAACTTACGACTCGTTCGATTCACGCTAATAACGTTGGTTCAATTGCGCGAGAAGGACTGAATCAATCAAGATTAACGAGTCGAGAATGCAGCTGACAATTCACTCTCGATCTACAATCTGGCTTACACGGTGTAAAATTTTAATTGTTTATTTCGACGAGTGCTGAATTATTTTTCCAATAAATTCGCACAATTCGTCAATAACTGTTAATTATTACTAGCAACGATAAATGTTATTTACGGATCTCTAATTAGATCTTACACTAAAAGAGAGATACTTGCTCTAATGTTTATATTTTCGATAAAATTATTTGATTATTATTATATTATTATTATATTATTATATTATATTATATTATATTATATTATATTATGTTATATTATATTATGTTATATTATATTATATTATAATTATATTATTATATTATATTATATTATTATTATATTATTATATTATTGTATTATATTATATTATATTATTATTATATTATTATTATATTATATTATATTATATTATTATTATATTATAATATATTATATTATTATTATATTATATTATATTACTCTTTCGACTCACACTGACACCACGGCTATAACGAATCAAATGTTAGTAACCTAATACGTAAAATAAACATCCACGCGTCCAGGACCATAAAGTCTGCAATGTTAAATAATTCGGAAACTTTTTTTGCCATTTGTTTTCAAGAGAACTACTCAGACTGCGACCTACAGTTCCTTGACAAAAATGTTAAAATTCGCGACGAGTAGAATACAGTGCAAAA